TGGTGGGCAAGCATTACTGCTTATCAGCCCAGAATTGTTTCTTGCGATAGTAGTGGTCTAAATTTGTAAATATTCGCTAAAATTCCATTTATTGTTCTATTACTATGGGACTAGTTTTAAAATGTGTCTTTATATTGCGAACAATTTGATACCCAAATGAAAAATGTAACACGAAAATTTGTGTCAGAACACTGGCAAAATATAAATAATTTTGTGGTGGTGAGCGTCCAAAAGTTAAAATATTTGTTAAAATTCCATTTATTGTTCTATTATTATGGGACTGGTTTTATAATTCGCGCCTTTATTTTGCGAACAATTTGATACCAAGATGACACACACAGCACAAAAAATTTATGTTATCAAACTGAACGAGAAAATACATTAGTCTGCAGGTGTGCCAATTGGTGCTCGTTTACGGGTAACTTGGCCGAATTTAGGCTTTGTTGTGGGGAGTCACACCGAGCTTTTAGACCTTATATGCATATACCCCTGAAGAGAATTCTATTGTGAACACAATGATACCAAAACGAACGACGTAGCACCAGAAATAAGGTGAGAAAACTGAAACGAGTATACACATTTTACCGATTTTGCGTGCTCACGGGTAACTTTGCCAACTTTAGGCTTTGCTGCGGGGAGTCACGGCGGGCTTTTGGGCTTATATGCATATACCCCTGTAGGGAATTCTATTGCGAACACAATGATACCAAAATGAACGACATAGCATGAGAATTAAGGCGAGAAAACTGAAACGAGTATACACTTTTCGGTGTTGCCGCACGCTCGCCTGTACCAAACAGGCGAGTGTGACTACAGGCTGATGCAACGGAGGGAGAGTACGACTACGGAGGGAGGCAACTGAGCGCGATAGTGTTCTGTTCATGTTATGATGTTGATTTATGAGGAAAAGTTGGAGCATTTGCCATAAGGATTATGCACAACAAAAATTTAATGTGTCTGAGGAAGTTTCGTGCCAACCAAACAATATTGTTTGGTTGGCACGGGCCAACTTCCCGGGCCCCTTTAGTTAATATTTTGGGGGTGTTTGGAACAGATTAATTCAATTTACATTATTTCTCATGTGAAAATTTGTTTTGGTTTACCATTTCTTGGGGTACGTTCAGTCTCTTGGAATGGATTAACATGGTAAAGGAAGGTACCACTACCTGGTTGATACCACTATATACTGATATAGAGCCAAACTACTAGGTGCCATCAGTTGTGGAGTTCTTATTGGCCTACCGGGGACTACGAGCCACAACATGGCCCCTTCAGAGAGGCACAGGGAGCAGTGGCCTATGACAAATTTGGTGTAGATTTATTCATGTCTGCCATTTACAAGGGAAGGCCCCCAGAAAGTCAGCAAAACAAAACAGACCACTGCTTGGTTAACAACTATATCGCAGCTGCAAGACAGCCTAAACAACAATGTAAATAAACGATTGAAAATTCCTTAAAGTAGCGTGAGCTAGTTCATACCCCCACCTTCCCCTTCCATAGGAATTAGCTATATTTTAACTGAGCTAGTGTTGCAGTATTAACTTTTTATGAAGTAAGATTACAAACTGCATTGCTTAGTGGACAAAAAATAAAGCATATACATCAGCATGTATAATGCAATGTTTTCACTCTTCAGGTTTTTTCCAGAAGCTTAAAGCTGGATTTACCTAGTGTTTTCTATTCTTAAATCCATCTCTTACATTATTAACACGGACAGTCTCCGTGGTGTAGTGGTAAGACACTCGCCTGGCGTTCCGCGAGCGCTATGTCATGGGTTCGTATCCTGGCCGGGGAGGATTTACTGGGCGCAATTCCTTAACTGTAGCCTCTGTTTAACGCAACAGTAAAATGTGTACTTGGATGAAAAAACGATTCTTCGCGGCAGGGGATCGTATTCCAGGGACCATAGGATTAAGGACTTGCCCGAAACGCTACGCGTACTAGTGGCTGTACAAGAATGTAACAACTCTTGTATATATCTCAAAAAAAAAAAAAAAAAAAAAAAAAAAACACTTGCCATGCTCATAATAGAAATCATTCATTTTCCCAAGCTAAAATACAAAAATTTTCAGAAAAATATTTATCTATTATATTTTTAGAAGAACTGGAATTGCAATCAATAATTGTATCTTTTTTAAGACCTTTTTTTACTGGAATTGGCACTGGTATCAAAATCATTTGAAATTTAGTATCATCCTATCACTAGCTAATACTATATTAGTAGAGTACACAAGTAAATAGTCGCCAGAGGACAAGCCCTAGGATGACCAGCACTAAGCTTAGAAGCACTGAGAGTGGATGCAAAACATGGCGAACATGAAGTAATACTGTGATGCACCACGCAGCACATCAGCAAGAGAACTGGCTGGTGTGTGTTCCCAGAAGACAGATGGAAGCAGTTAACAGTCTCCGTGGTGTAGTGGTCAGACACTCGCCTGGCGTTCCGCGAGCGCTTTGTCATGGGTTCGTATCCTGGCCGGGGAGGATTTACTGGGCGCAAATCCTTAACTGTAGCCTCTGTTTAACGCAACAGTAAAATGTGTACTTGGTTGTAACAACGATTCTTCGCGGCAGGGATCGTATTCCATGGACTTGCCCGAAACGCTACACGTACTAGTGGCTGTACAAGAATGTAACAACTTTTGTATATATCTTGTATATATCAGTACTAATGGGGTCGACCTAGTTTCGAGTGAATTATTTTGTTTATTTGAATCATTTGGAGAGCTGTTCGGCAGTTTTGAAGTTTTGGGTCTCGTAAACCCGGCAGTTGTCTGTAAAGCTTCACTGATTGTCTGGATACTTTCCCAGTGAAATAGCAGATTGTTATCTGCTCTCTGCACCTTTGTGAGGGAAGGGCCAGGTTCTGGCTCTGGTCTCCAGTAGGCCAAACAGAACACCTGTGACTGATGTGACTGTTGTAGCATGGAATAATCTTAGCAAGATAAATATAGGGAGCCACCAAGGAATTTCCCCAGAAAAGCACAAAGTGAAATTCATAAAGTTATGGAGGAGGGAGACTTGTTCTCTCTTGACTACAAGTAGAGTGAGATGGCTCAGGGGTTCCTAAACAGCATCTTAATGACTAACCTCTAAAATGAGTCCCTGGAAGCTCAATGATTCTTAACCATAATTCCTTCTGTGAATTCCATAATGTGAACAAAACACATGAAGAATGTATTTGAGTGAATGTCATGAAAGTAGAAGGTAAGGCCAGCAAAGAGGGGTAGATGTGGTGTACGAGTGTGAACAATACACTACATGCAAGGGAACAAGACTTGGTGGAAAAGATGTGCAAAAAGGCATTGAATGTACATTGTTTATATGTACAATATGTGGATATTCATAAAGAGTACTATACACCTGGGGCCAGATTCATGAAGCAGTTATGCAAGTAATTACGAACTTGTACATCTTTCCTCAATCTTTGACGGCTTTGGTTACATTTATTAAACAGTTTACAAGCATGAAAACTTCCCAATCAACTGTTGTTATTATAATAAACAGCCTCCTGGTGCTTTGCAGCTCATTAACTGTTTAATAATTGTAAGCAAAGCCGCCAAAGATTGAGAAACGATGCACAGGTTCGCAAGTGCTTTTGTAATTCCTTCGTGAATCTGGCCCCTGGTCCTATTAATTGGAGAGTTACGGCTGTGAATGGGAGCTGGAGTGTGTCAGTGCTGGTTTATACCCGACACTCTAGCTAAACTATGATAATGAATACAAGTGTTGTATTATATTTGAGGAGCTACAGCTTACTTTCACAATGTTAGTCACCATTTTTTCTGGGCTGATGCCTTATCATAAATGTGAGGAACATGGTAGTGATGATAATGTATGAATATACATGAAAGTGAGAACATGGTACTGACCATGTATGTATGAATACCCATAAAAGTGAGAATATGGCAATGATAATGGATGAACGCCCAATTAACTAAGAAACATGGTAATAAGAAAATCAGGAGCCGCCACGAGGAGGATTTGGTGTTTGTCTAGGGCGTTTTGCTTGTGTACAAAGTGGGTGGGTTCCAATCCTCCTTATGGCCCCTACTGATTTTCTCACCAATACATCATGTTAATGGGATGTTATTGTGCAAACATGGCAATGATAATGTATGAATACCCATAAAAGTGAGAAACATGGTACCCAGTCTGGGTAAACATCAATACCCAGTCTGGGTAAACATCAATACCCAGTCTGGGTAAACATCAATACCCAGTCTGGGTAAACATCAATACCCAGTCTGGGTAAACATCAATACCCAGTCTGGGTAAACATCAATACCCAGTCTGGGTAAACATCAATACCCAGTCTGGGTAAACATCAATACCCAGTCTGGGTAAACATCAATACCCAGTCTGGGTAAACATCAATACCCAGTCTGGGTAAACATCAATACCCAGTCTGGGTAAACATCAATACCCAGTCTGGGTAAACATCAATACCCAGTCTGGGTAAACATCAATACCCAGTCTGGGTAAACATCAATACCCAGTCTGGGTAAACATCAATACCCAGTCTGGGTAAACATCAATACCCAGTCTGGGTAAACATCAATACCCAGTCTGGGTAAACATCAATACCCAGTCTGGGTAAACATCAATACCCAGTCTGGGTAAACATCAATACCCAGTCTGGGTAAACATCAATACCCAGTCTGGGTAAACATCAATACCCAGTCTGGGTAAACATCAATACCCAGTCTGGGTAAACATCAATACCCAGTCTGGGTAAACATCAATACCCAGTCTGGGTAAACATCAATACCCAGTCTGGGTAAACATCAATACCCAGTCTGGGTAAACATCAATACCCAGTCTGGGTAAACATCAATACCCAGTCTGGGTAAACATCAATACCCAGTCTGCAAAACAGTCTGACTGCCCTCAATACATTCACCAAACTTTCATACATAAAGAATGAGATGTGATTCCTAAGGACAAAATAAACCGACACAATATTAACATGAATAAACTCTCTCTTACACATATCTTACCTCAAATTTGCATCATTATACAAATTCTCAATTTCAGATTCAAGATTGTTCTTGGCTTGTTCTATGTTAACTACAGCCGATCTCAGCGAACACTGTTCTTCTTGCCATTGATGCTTCTCGGCTTCAAGGCTCGACAATGCTTCCTTCAATCTGCAAACTGTTGACTGGTGTTCACTTAACGCCTCCTGCAATTCAGTCAGTTGGGATAATTTCTCATCCAACTTCATTTGAACTTCTAAGGTAGTTTTAGATGCATTTGCACCTTTCTCCTCCTCCTCGTGTAGCTTTTCCAGCAAAGTTTTCTTTTCTTCATTTAGAAGTGATTGCTTATCTTGAAGACACTGTATAATTGCATTCTTATTATTTTCCAGCTCTACTATAGATGCCTGAAGCTGCGTACATTCTTCTTCTTTGGTTGTTAGCGCTGCCGCGGCAGCTGCATACTGAGCAACAGCTTCCCGGTGTTTCTCGTGCCACGTTTTTAACTCTTCTTCCAGATTTTCAGTTCGGACAACAGCCTCTTTGGCACACAATGCATTAACTTCTAGTTCACTTAATTTTTGAGATTTTTTGGTTATATCTTCTCTCAGAGCAAGAATTTCATCATCAGTAGCTTCTAGCTTATTTCTTAGTTTATCTAATTCATCATTCAACTGTTGAGAATTATTCTTACTTTGGCTCAACTGTTCTTCAGTTTCCTTGAGGGAAGATGTCAACATTTCACACTCGCCTCTGGATTCCCTCAAGTTATTAGTCGCTTCGTCGACTAATTTCTCCAGCTGCTTCTCTCTAGCAATGATATTTGTTATCTCCATCTCTTTTTCTTTAACTAAATTCTCCTTTTCTATTAAAGCTGATGCAGCCTCTTTAAATGCTGAGGATTTCTCCTCTATACTAGCTTGAAGCAGAGTTATCTCTTGCTCAGCTTCCATTAACTTGTTTGACTTATCCTCATGCTCATTGCTGAGGTCTTGTAGAGTTGACTTCAGCTCTGCCAACTCCAGCTGCATGTCCGAGTTCTCCTGCACGAGTCCCTCGGCCTTCTTCTCAAACGTGACACTCAACTCGTTGGCCTGAGCATTAAGGGTCTGGACTTGCTGCTTCATATTACCAACATGATTTTCTGCAACTTCCAGAGCAGCTTGAACAATAGACAATTTCTCTTCATTATCACTTTTTATTCTACTATAATGTTCAGCTAACTGACTATTTTCGATCTTTTGATTTTCAAGTTGGAACTTTAAATTTTCTATTTCCTTCTTACTTTTTTCCAAAGAACCTGCATTTGTTTCCAAAATCTGTTGCAAATTTATAATCTTTTCTGCATGCTGCTTTTGTTCCTCTGAATATTTGACTTCCATCTTTTCTTTCTGTGCTAACAGTTGTAGAAATTCTTCTTTATTATTTTGACACTTGAGTTCCAGAGCGTGCTTATTATCCACCAGCGTCTCCAAGTCAGTCATGGCGTTTACAAGTGCCACCTGCAGATCATTCAACTTTTCTTCCCTCTCTTCTTTCACTTTATCTAGTTCATCAACGACTTCCATTTTCTCTCTCTGTAGAGCAGCAACTCTGAGTGTTAAGGTGTTCACTTGGCCGTTACTCTCCATTAAAGCTCGCTCCTTTTCCTCTACAGTCTTGGCAAGAGCTGCAATACTCTCAGCATGCTGCTGTTGCAGCTCCTTCACCTGAGACTCTCCTTCTTCTCTGTCTCTTGTCAGTGTCTCAAGCTTCACCTCCACCTCCTCGCACGTCTTCTCAAGCTCACTCATTCTCTTCTCCTTCTCTTCCACTGAAGATGTTAACACATCAATTTTTCCTTCCTTCTCTCTTATCTGTTCTTCAAAACGTTCCTCTGCTTCAACTTTTCCTTTCGTCGCCACTTCAATCTAATATAAAAACAAATTATATAAATTATTACAAGATATCTAACATCAATGCAAATAACATCAAATGTATTGACAAATCACTTTTCTTGAATACTACACATGAACTCAAGTTAAGCTATGGCCTAAAATGACAACTAAGCCATACTATACAGATAGCAAAATATCTTTTACAGAAACAGTAAAACGCTACTACCTCTGCTCTCAGTGAAGTAATAGTTGCAGTGTGGCGGGCAATATCTGCCCTGAGTGTGTCTACCATTCCCTCCAGCTCCCACTTTGACACCTCGGCTGCCAGTCTCTCACCGCGGGCAATATCCTCCTTATTCTGCACCTCCAACTTCTCCTCCTCTGCAACCTTGGCTCGTCTCTCTGCTTCACTCACCTGCCATTCAAGTAGATAATAAGCATTTTTGTTAATTACAAACTAGATTGGAAACATAACATTCCTGAAAGCTGATCCAATTACAACATTTTGTCCCAACAACAGGGACCGTAGGATTAAGGACTTGCCCGAAACGCTACGCGTACTAGTGGCTGTACAAGAATGTAACAACTCTTGTATATATCTCAAAAAAATTGCTAGGGCTCAAGAACATGACAAACTGCTGCAATTACCTGATTGTGATCCAGAGAAAATGATTATTTATCAGTGTCTACATAACCCTAGACAACATGGGTTCAGAACAGGGTGCTCTTGCCTCTGGTAATTTCTAAACCTAAGACATGGCCTTAAATGTCCTGGAAGACAAGCAAAATGCTGATGTAATATACACAGATTTTGCAAAAGCTTTCAACAAATATGACCATGATGTCACCGCACACAAAAGGAATTACTGGCAAAATAGCGAGATGGAACTTTAATTTTTAAATGAATAGAAACCAGAGTGTAACAGTCAACAAAGCATAATCCAGATCATCAATTGTGAAAAGTTCAGTGCTGCAAAGTACTGTGCTTGCTCCAGTACCTTTCCTGATCCTCACATCAGACAGACAAGGGTACAAGTTATAGTACTGTATCATTAGAACTGCTTACAAATTTTAAACATGTATTCTCTAGAGCACAGGCAGGAGAGATACAAAATTATTTACAATTGGAAAATATGAGAGGAATTAGTTCTATATCTGCACAAATAAATACCATTGCATGAAACCAGGAGGCATGGCAGAATGTGCAAAATAGCCCCACTGAAAAGCAGAGGTGCAATAGGTATGCTGAGACAACTTGATCAACAACAAGGGCACAATCAAAACTCTCCCAGTGTTCAAGAGAGAACTCGATAAAGCCCTCCAAAGGCTACATGATCAACCTGGCTGAGACTGATACATCAGGCTGCAAGCAAAATGCATCCAACAGCCTGGTTGACCATACTGCCAACAAGCAGGACTGGTCAGAGGCTGTAAGGGACAATGATCCCCCAGAACCAGCAACAGGTAGTCAACAGATGAGGTCTTATGATGCTGCACTTAACCTGATTAAGCACATTATCAGCTGATGCACTATCACATTCTGTTAGATTCAGGTCAAATTTTGTGACGGTCTCATCAAAGAGATGTCTAGTAAGGGAAATACTGAGAAGCAGAAGCTGAGAGCATGGTCAGATAATGAGCATGAAGCACACTGAGGACTACTTCACGAATGAAAAACCCAGCATTGAATGTAATGAAACACCATTTTCAGGGTGAGCCCTGGAGGCTCCCTGCATTTATTGGACTGATATTAGCTATATTAATCTGGGGCTTCAGTCATATGGAGTTGTCGAGCCACGAGCCAGAACATGGGTATCCCCAGAAAGGCGAAGGGAGTAGTGGCCTATGAAAACGCCACTGTTTGGGAGAATATTCAAGTTTACCATCGACCGGGGTTGGGCACTCAGAAAGGCAGGCGCCCCAGACCCCATATGGGAGAAAATTGCAACCTTAGACCAAAACAAGAGGCTAGAAACTCCCCCCCCCCTCCAAAAAGGAAACAAGCAAACCATCACCAACCCAACGCGCTGGCTGTCTGTCCCCAGTTTGAAGACTGAGCAAACAGAAACCAAAACCTCCGACCAGAGGGAGAAAGGGTGCCTCCGGGGCACACAGAGAAAATGACGTTTCATTACATTCAATCCTGGTTTTCTGTAAGGAGCACCGTCGGCTCCCTGGAGATAGTAATCCTAAGAGCAGTAAAAGAGGGACTAACCCGAGAGGCAGCTGCACTGCAAGATTCATGACGAAGATGAGACAAGTGGCTGCAACAAACAGCAACAAACAAAAAGATGCAACCTAGACACAAAACATGATGCACCCCCCCCCAGCCTGACCAACCAAGCATCAATAACCCACGGACCCCTCCAGAAGCCCACCATCTCGTTCTTCACCGGAAAGAAGGCTGCAAATGAACAAAACGTCCACCCGGACCGAAAGAGCAAAAACCTTTGTGCCGAAGGAGAGCATGAAGCTCCCCGACCCGACCCCCAGAAGCCAAAGCCAACAATAACAAAGCTTTCTGGAAACAGTCTTGGACCGAAAGGACCACCATAAACAAAGGAGAAGAGAGAAAGGAGAGCACCTGGTACAAAGACCAGGACAGCTCAGCTGGCATCCGATCCATGTCCATGGCAGGAAGCCCCAGCTAAGAGGAGCAACCTTCTTACTAGCTCAGAAAAAAATATATATACACCGTCATATACACCGAAAGCCTAATTTGACAAATTTCTGGTTTCAACATTCAGCAATACATACTTGTTTTTCAGTTTCTTCTTTGACTTTAAGTATCTCCATAGCAGCTTCTGCCTTGGTGGACTCTACTACTGATGCAGCATTAGCCTTAACACTCTCCATCTCAGCAGATACACTGGCAACCTGGGCTCGCGCTTCTGACAACTCCGCTTCCATTGCATTCATTCCTAGAAAGTGCATTAAAGACTTACTTCTACTCAATTAAAAATATATTATTCATTTAAAATTATGCAAAACTACTTGGTAAATATACCAGTATGAATAACAAGGTCATTGAGTCCACTAGGCATTGTTCAATCACACCAGAACAATAACTCAAACAAAAAGGAATTCCAGAATCTGAACATCGTACAATGTCAACTGGATCATGGACAGGTGTAATGATCATGGACAGGTGTAATGATCATGGGCTGGTGTAATAACCACAGGCAGGTGTAATATAAACAGCCTGGTGTAATGTCTACAACCTGATGTAATGACGACCACAGGCAGATATAATGAGCATTCTATCCAGCTAAAGTAACATCATTTACATAAAGCCAATATTATAAAGTACCTGCTAACTTCCTTTCACATTGTTCTTTGGTTGTGTTGAGAGCTGTCGTTGCCTCGTCTCTCTGCCCTACTGTGGCTTTCAGCTCATCTTCAAGTTGGCCCATCTCTTGAGATAACTTGTTTACAACATTTTCAGCATCTTTAACAGCCTGCAAATTTAATGAAAATTCAAAACATTTTTCACTGATATTTCTGTATGATCACTAAGCCTCTGCGTGGAAAATAACAACATCAAACCTCAATTAGCCTATTACTGTCACACTTATTTGTGAGTCAACAACTGAATAACCTTGATCCTTGAAGTATTCATGCTGATGAATTTTAAAACTCTGGACTTCCCCCCCCCCCTACTAACTACTAAAGTCTACTAACACAAGTTGGACACCCAGGAGAACTAACACAGGTTGGACACCCCGGGGAACTAACACAGGTTGGACACCCAGGAGAACTAACACAGGTTGGACACCCCGGGGAACTAACACAGGTTGGACACCCAGGGGAACTAACACTGGTTGGACACCCAGGGGAACTAACACTGGTTGGACACCCAGGGGAACTAACACAGGTTGGACACCCAGGGGAACTAACACAGGTTGGACACCCAAGGGAACTAACACTGGTTGGACACCCAGGGGAACTAACACAGGTTGGACACCCAGGGGAAATAACACAGGTTGGACACCCAGGGGAACTAACACTGGTTGGACACCCAGGAGAACTAACACAGGTTGGACACCCAAGGGAACTAACACTGGTTGGACACCCAAGGGAACCAAGAGTGTTCTCTCTTGAACACTATGAGGGGTCGACCAGTTATGTCCCTTATGTGTAGTGGAAGCGTGTTGAACAGTCTCGGGCCTCTGATGTTGATAGAGTTCTCTCTCAGAGTACCTGTTGCACCTCTGCTTTTCAACGGGGGTATTCTGCACATCCTGCCATGCCTTCTAGTCTCATGTGGTGTTATTTCTGTGTTCAGGTTTGGGATCAGCCCTTCTAATATTTTCCAGTGTAAATTATTATGTATCTCTCCCACCTGCGCTCAAGAGAATACAGATTTAGGCTTTTTAGTCAGTCCCAGTAGTTTAGATGTTTTACCGAGTGGATTTTAGCAGTAAAGGATCTCTGCACGCTCTCCAGGTCAGCAATTTCTCCAGCTTTGAAAGGTGCTGTCATTGTGCAGCAGTACTCCACTCTAGAGAGCACTAGCGTCTTGAAAAGTATCATCATCGGTATATCATCTCTAGTGTGAAAGGTTCTTGTTATCCAACCTGTCATTTTTCTTGCAGTTGTGACGGCTACTTTATTGTGTTCTTTGAAGGTAAGATCTTTGGACATGAGTACACCCTAATCTTTTACAATGCCTTTTCGTTCTATGTCATGATTTGACTGCGTTTTGTACGTGGTTTCCGTTTTTTCCGTAGCACATGAGCTAGAACTTATCTTCGTTAAACACCATATTTTCTGTAGCCCATAGAAAGACCTGATTTACATCTGATTGGAGATTTGTCGTGTCCTCTATGTTATCTATTCTCATGCAAAATCCTAGTGTCATCTGCAAAGGATGATGCAGTACTATAGATTGTGTCCTTGTCTATATCCGATATGAGGATGAGAAAAAGTACTGGAGCAAGCACAGTACTCTGGGGGACTGAGCTCTTCACGGTGATGGACGGATTCTGTTTGTCAGGAAATTGTAAATCCATCTGCCTATTTTTCCGGTAATTCCTTTTGAACATATTTTATATGCAATAACACACAACAAATCTCTGTGAATAATCTGCGAATAACACAACAAATCAAAAACACAGGAACAAATCCACAAGTGCCGTGACGAGGGTTCAAACCTACGTCCGAGAGGATCCCAGACGCTGCCTTAAGTGACTGAGCTACGACATGGTTAAAAGAATTGCAACCGGGAAATTATCCTGACCTACCACGGATCCTGCAGTCTCTCTGAGACACAAACCAGGGTTTCACACAATTCCCCCATGCACCCAAGCTCTGTCAATAGGCTGTTCTACCTCTTCGACCTTACTTCATTACACACAGAAATCACAATACCATGTGAAATCATCTCGGACATAGGTTCGAACCCTCATCACGGCCCTCGTGGATTTGTTCTCTTTGACGCATCATGCTATTGATTTCTGTGTCTAATAACACAGGTTGGACATCCAAGGGAACTAACACAGGTTGGCCATCCAAGGGAACTAACACAGGTTGGCCATCCAAGGGAACTAACACAGGCTGGACATCCAAGGGAACTAACACAGGTTGGCCATCCAAGGGAACTAACACAGGTTGGCCATCCAAGGGAACTAACACAGGTTGGACATCCAAGGGAACTAACACAGGTTGGACATCCAAGGGAACTAACACAGGTTGGACATCCAAGGGAACTAACACAGGCTGGCCATCCAAGGGAACTAACACAGGTTGGACACCCAAGGGAACTAACACAGGCTGGACACCCAAGGGAACTAACACAGGCTGGACACCCAAGGGAACTAACACAGGTTGGACATCCAAGGGAACTAACACAGGCTGGCCATCCAAGGGAACTAACACAGGCTGGACACCCAAGGGAACTAACACAGGCTGGACACCCAAGGGAACTAACACAGGCTGGACATCCAATGGAACTAACACAGGCTGGACACCCAAGGGAACTAACACAGGCTGGACACCCAAGGGAACTAACACAGGTTGGACATCCAAGGGAACTAACACAGGCTGGACACCCAAGGGAACTAACACAGGCTGGACACCCAAGGGAACTAACACAGGCTGGACACCCAAGGGAACTAACACAGGCTGGACACCCAAGGGAACTAACACAGGTTGGACATCCAAGGGAACTAACACAGGTTGGACATCCAAGGGAACTAACACAGGCTGGACACCCAAGGGAACTAACACAGGTTGGACATCCAAGGGAACTAACACAGGCTGGACACCCAAGGGAACTAACACAGGCTGGACACCCAAGGGAACTAACACAGGTTGGACATCCAAGGGAACTAACACAGGCTGGACATCCAAGGGAACTAACACAGGCTGGCCATCCAAGGGAACTAACACAGGTTGGCCATCCAAGGGAACTAACACAGGCTGGACACCCAAGGGAAATAATGCAAGTTGGAAACCTAAGAGCTCTAACAAAGTGTTAATTTAGTTTTAGTTTGCTGTTAGTTTTTCCACTTAAAAAAATTGTCCTACCACTTTTCTCCTAGTTATTCTCCTATTTTCTTGCCCAACTCTCACATTCACTTCCTTTTTAACTTTTGGCCAATATGATGAGGCATCCTCAAGATACTGAATGGATCCGTGAAGAATAAATAAGACCAAACAAAATAAACGTGACAAAACAGTAAGGACACCTTTTACTGGGGATGTCTAATTAGTAAGTACTCCAACACTTGTAAGAGAAGCTCACTTTGTCCTTATCTGCCTGCATCTGTTCAAGTGAAACCTTCCTGCTGTCTGCCACTTGCTCGGCCAACTCTAAGCGCGTTGTCAGCTTGTCTATCGAAGATTCTGCTGCAGAAAGTTTCACCTTCAATCCTGAGACCTGCAAAACAATGGAAAATTTAAGTTTAAGAGGTCAAAATCATTATTGAGGCCTTTTATTTAATATTTTTTTTTAAGGAAATAAATTAGACATTTTGCCAATATAGATTATAGAACTTTATCTATTCTATTCAATGATACCAAAAATCTGACTAAAAAGTATAGTAATCTGATTATCCAACCATTCAGTGTCGAACTCTCCAGATTATTCAACAAGTGGCCAATAATTTGGGTGAGTGGTCTCCCAGAAAAGAGAGCAGGAGCAGCAACCAGCCTAGACCACACCGGGGGCACAATGGGCTAGAACAATGGCCTCACCAACACAGATCATGAGACCAGTAACCTGCCCCACCCAGAGACCACCCACCAGTATGGCAGAGAATGGTCCAGCTGTATCAACAAGACCTGGCACAAGCCAAACCAACATAGCAGCCTGGCTCCGGCCGGACCAATACAGCATGGAGCTAGCTGCACCAACACAACCCAGCACTATATGAGCCCAGCATCAACACGACCAATATGGCCGGGTACAAAACAGGAAAACCCAACCTGACGACAGCCAGACCAACTCGTTCCAGAGCCAGCTGGATAATGCAGTCCCAGTGCCAGGTGTGTTAGCATTAACAAAGCCATCACAGTACAGTGATGCACGCTCAGTGCAAGCCAGACTAACACAGGCCACGGCCAACCTGGTCAAGACATTTCCAAAGAACGAACCATTTTAATTTATTCCTAGGACACCATCACATCATTACCAGGCTATTCTTTTTCTCTACCATTCAAATCATTATGAAAATGATTCTGCAATGGATTATTTTCACGCTCATCTCATTCTCAAAACTATGCCACATTTATGTACAAATATAAATGAAAAATAATCATACCTGAGCAGCTGCCATCTCCTTCTCTTGGCGCAACATAGTAAGAGTTTTGGTCGAATCTTCAGCTGTCTTCTCTAACCGGGCAATCTCTGCCTCTAGCTGACCGCTCCGACTCTCGGCTACCTTGCAATCCTTCTCCACTGATGCAGTCTAAGAGATGATAACACTATGTAGATGAGCTGCACATACCTTATTTGCTAGCGTAAAAGATGCACCCTTACATAGGACGCACCTGTTTTACACAAGGCTATTTTGCAGAAAAAACATTTTAGTATGTTTCAACATTCATTTATTGATAGATATTTTAAAGTGGATTGTGTACCCCAACTTTTGCCTCCTGTAAGATCAACTATGTAGTTGTTTATATTGATGGCAAAAAAATTGCTATACAGGATGTGAAACGTATTTCTGGATGTGATGTTTTGTGTTCCCGCATCAGGCCACCAGAGTGACGAACCTGACCGTGGCGCACCATCACAGCACTCTGGTTCTCGTTCACTCACAGCAAATGGCTGACAGGCAGATGAAAGTTTAACATTCCTTTCAAATTTCTAGAAGCATTTTTTATTTAGATGATGAATAAATGTGTCTTAAAGGTAAGACAGTCATTAAATAATGTAAGATATAAATCATGTGTGGGTTATGTATGCTGGGTAAGGTGGTGAGATGATGTGAGCTTCCTTTATAACTGCCGACGTATCATAAGCAATTTTTCATAAGTTTGTGATAAAAGACTGTAATAACTCTGCTTGTTGTAATTATTTTATTATTAGCAACAATTTTTGTGCCTAGTGAGCTTACCCAGTATGCTCATCCGGCTCCCTAACCCATGGAACTCAGTCTCTCATCCGTAATACGGCCGCATTTGACGTAGGGCAATTTTTTTATATATTTAAAAATAAAAAACAGCGGTGAATGTAATGAAACACCATTTTCTGGGTGAGTCCCGGAGGCTCCCTGGAGCCATCCAGGCTGACTGGATATGTATAACTTTCTGGCATTAATGTGCTTGGAGTTCTTGCCTACCAGGGACCATGAGCCAGAACCTGGCGCCCCTCAGAGGCTTTTACCCAGAAAATGGTGTTTCATTACATTCAACGCTGGTTTTCTGGGGGGGGGGGGAGCTCCGTCGGCTCCCTGGAGCTACCTCACCAAAGATAAGGAAAAGAGGGAAGGACCCGGGAGGCAGTCGCCACTCGCCCTACACAAGAACAAAATCCCAGGCCAAACCAAAGGACCATGCAGACGACCCGGGAGACCCGAACCCCAGAACAGGAAGGAGGGAAGGTAACCCGGGGCCACCAAAACATGCCCACGGCCCCAGAGGCCAAGACGTGCAGATAACAGCGAAGAACTGCAACCAAACACACACACGAAGCACCCCCAGCCTGAACAACCAAGCAGCAACCCAAGGACCCCCTCCGGAAAACAGCAGACCCAAACTTCACCCGAAAAGAAGGAGACTGCAGCTAATGAACAACCTACCACCGGGAACAAACGAGCAGGAAAACACACCATAACCGAAGGGGTCACTACAACCCAAGGAGAAGAAAGGAGAGAGACCACCCGGGCCAACGACCAGGATGGCACTGGAAGCGCATGAGCAGACCAGAGGTGAAACAACGAACTAGACAGCTAGCAGAACGGAGCAGAAGAAACAGCAACACTAAACACAAGCTGGAGTGGCCCCGCCAGTGCCACCTGAAATGAGGCGACAGTATTCGGCATCAAACGACGGTCCAGGAACAACCCCGAGGGGAAGGACAAAACAACCATATCAGAGACCGCAGTACACCTATGCAGTGATAGGAAAACCGGAAGGACCGCCAGGAAACTACATACTGCCGCCAAGATGAAGCACGCAGGTGGGAGACCAACAACGAAGCCACCAGTGCCCACACAAGCGACGAGAACTTGTGACAAAAACCCCGAGACTCAAAGACTCGAGGAAAAAAATGAACCAGCCTTGTACTGGGCCGGACTGATCCGCAAAAAGGGGAGGAGCCACGGGAAGACCCTCAGGAACGGACACCGAGGAAAGCAGCACCCCCAAACCAAGAGGCAGGCAAAGAACTAGTAGGAACAGCCACCAGGGAACCAGGAACCCAAACCCGGCAAGCCTGAAAGGAACCAACCCCAGCGATCAGACACACCCTGCCCGGACCCCTGAAGGACCAACAAGGCCGAAAACAGATGGCAGCGAGAAGAATCCGCCTGCCAAAAGAGTTGAACTACAGACACCGCAACAGCTAGGACCAGATGACGACGAAAACTGAAGAGCCAGGGCCCAGGCCAAAGAGGAAAACAAGCACAACGAACAGAATTGCGAGACTCGAAGCGAAAATCAGCGACCCCGCAACCCGCAGGAGCAGCGCAACCAACTCCAGCAGGGAAGAACGACGCACGCATCTCATAGTTATATATGAGAACATTCAAGACGTGAAAAGGAATACAAAGAAAAGCCGTAGCCAGGACCCCAATCCTAGCATCCCCTGTCCCAACGAAAAAGAACCATAGGGGCAGGAGTGGTCGATCGGACCCCCACGGCAGGACCCGGGGGCCGAGCCGTCCCTCCAAAGCCCCCGGCCCCACAAGAGAAAGCTGGGGCAGCTATAAAAACACTAAGCCCACTGGTCAGACCCATACCCTACGGCTGGAGGAAGAGGCTCGAATGCCTCCGCCGCCACCCTAGAAGAGGAAACCCCGAGACCACCCGAGTCTCAACCCAACTAGACCCAACCACAACTCCAAAACCCGCAGACATTTCGGAGCCGGAAGCAAGGGGAAGGAATGTATGCACAACAGAAGGGAAAGGACGAGGAGGGGCGGACTGAACCAGAGCCGAAGCGACTCCCAACCCAAAGTCCGGACCCCTATAACCAAGGCGGGGCAGTTTTGGGGCATCCGGGGCCGCAACCCACCGAGCATGCTGCAGCAACCAAACCAAGCATGCAATGCAGCAGCTGCCAGCACCCACATATGTTGAGTTACATAGATAAACTGGAGCACGAGCAGACAACAATGTCGTACAACTCCGAGTCAAAAGAAGCACCGACCCAACAGGCAGCTTGGCGGAGGCACAACTAGCGAATGTCGCCACGAGACAAGGGGACAGAGCAATCTGCAAACTCACAAGAAGCGAGAGGGGACTCAAGGGTCACAACCACCGGACCACAGAGTCCCCTACGTGGTTTCCCAGGGCCCTTAGCTATATTAACACGCTATGGTAAGCCCAGGCAGGGTACTGCGAACCGGCACCCAAGTCTACCAAACAACCTGCTAAAACCTGAACCCCCGGGACGTGTCCACTCATGGGGCCAAGCGGGGGATACCACCAACCACAAAATCCCTGGTAGGCAAGAACTCCAAGCACATTAATGCCAGAAAGTTATACATATCCATTCAGCCTGGATAGCTCCAGGGAGCCGACGCCACCCCCCCCCCCCCAGAAACCCGCATCTTTTACGCCGGCAAATACAGTACATCTGGTAAAGATGATTTTATCAAAACACTTGAGCTATGGCCATAAGTATAAAATGTAGGTAAGTTAATTAACTTTAATCTCAGCAGCCCTTTGAGCTCAAAACATAGCATTCCCAATTAATTTTGTGACTACTGTAAACTCAAGAACATTTATTTCCAAACATTTCAAGACCTTATAAATAGATTGATGGACACAATGAAAATAAGCACCCTCTGGGGTTGTTATCTTGAGGTTATCTTGAGATGATTTCGGGGATTCAGTGTCCCCGCGGCCCAGTCCTCGACCAGGCCTCCACCCCCAGGAAGCAGCCTGTGACAGCTGACTAACACCCAGGTACCTATTTTACTGCTAGGTAACAGGGGCATAGGGTGAAAGAAACTCTGCCCATTGTTTCTCGCCGGAGTCTGGGATCGAACCCGGGACCACAGGATCACAAGTCCAGCCACTGGTGCCCTCAGTGGCTGCCCAGAGTATATACTGGTACCTCAGGGCTCATGCCAACACACTAAGCACATGTGACCTCATGGCCTACTGGGAGCAGATACCAGGGGCCAGATTCACGAAAACTCTTACGCAAGCACTTACGAACGTGTACATCTTTCCTCAATCTTTGACGGCTTTGGTTACATTTATTAAACAGTTTACAAGCATGAAAACTTCCCATTCAACTGTTATTATTGTTATAAACAGCCTCCTGGTGCTTTGAAGCTCATTAACTGTTTAATAATTGGAAACAAAGTTGCCAAAGATTGAAAACGTGTTCAGGAACCTGAAGATGTTCAGGTTCGTAAGTGTTTGCCTAAGTGCTTTCGTGAATCTGGCCCCAGATTCCTGCCCCCTCAAAGACACAAGCAAGGAAGCTGAGGGAGACAAACTCTGGGAAAACACTGCCATATTGGCTTAAAAAAGCGTCACAAAAACTTAAATTCACGAGTAAAGAGAACTGTTTTGTACAAATGGATACAAATCAAATACTAAAACTATCAGATATACCCAAAAATACCATTTCGCCATTTTTCCCTCCTGCCACCAGATGGCATGGTCGCCACTAACTCTCCCACCTGGTGCCTCTATCAATACAGTGTCTTCTCAGAGATGGTTTTTTTTTAGACAAATTACTGGCTTTCCTGCACATTTATTAATTACAGAGGTACCTTCATTTTGATTTACCAGATATGTAACATACCTCATGGTTCTTGTCTGTATCAGTTCTGGTTTCAGGATTAACTTTCCCAGCATGATGTTTAACAGACAAGTCCTCCTTAAGATGGATTCCATTCCAGTCTCTCTATATCTCTGGAAATATCTCTGGACTTGGTCACCAGACAAGATATGTAGAGTTGAAAGTTGGTTTATATGTAACTTACAACCCTGCTCATGCAGGTGTGGAGCCAATGCAGGTTGCAGGGTTGTGTTTAGTAAGGGCATTTAGAGTAATGTATGTTTGTTGTCGCAAAGTCATATCCTGAAATGTTAGTGCGAGCACTTTGTTTTCTATTAGGAGGGAGATCTGGGCAAATTGCACTCATTGGGTGGGATGCAAATAGTGGAAAGTGTTCTCATGTTTTTGTAAATATGGTAGCAGCATGTGCACATGATTGTCATTGTGCTGACCTCTGCCTAGTGACTTACACTGCTGTTCTAGCCCAGAGATTTTCATTAGTGGTGACATGGTACCATTTCCATTCCTGTGTTTTGTATCGTGTAATTTTGCTCTCGTGCAGCATGCGGCCTTTAAAGCAATGATCAAAGCCATGGTTTCTCTGTTTAGTTCCTTGGTAGGTGCCACAAGATTAATACGATACTGACCTTTGTTAACTGTTATGAAACAATGGCAAGGTGCCAGAGTGAGACATGAAACACATTAATGCCTGGGGTCAACCAAGCCTTCCACTTGTGTAGCTCCAGGGAGCTAGCAGACACCATGACGTCAAGTACCTGGCACATACTTCAGTCTCAAATATTTCACACACAAGACTAACATTCTTTCTTTGCCATAAGTACGAGCCGCCTCAAACAGGGCGGCACATACTTTTGACAAGTACTATATCAGCAACTATGGGGGCGCGAGATCTAGCTCTTTATGCCTCGATAACAAACTAGTCAGGTAATCATACCTGGCGTGCTGATTACCTCTCTCAACATTAACGTTTTCATCACATTTCTTCTTAAAATTGTGGATGGAATTGGCTTCAATAATCTCTTCTTACAATGCATTCCACTTGCCAATTACTCGTACAGAGAATGAGAACTTCCTTACATCTCTATGACCCAATTTCATATCCAGCTTCCACTGTTGTCCTTTTGTCCTATCTTCCTTGAATTTAAATCGACTTCCTTTGTCCACTTTGTTTCCTTCAAGATCTTCTATGGAGTGATTATATCCCATCTGCTTCTTCTCTTCTGTAAGATTGTAAGCGTGAGTTGCCTCAGCCTGTTTTCATAGCAGAGCCCTCTCAATTAGGTTCAGCTATGTGTGCAATTTCCAGCCTAGTGATATTAAGGATGTGTTTTTCTCTGAACTTTATGGGTAGTGTGGTTCTCTCTCTCTCTCTCTTTGGTTTAGACCAGGGACCAGATTCACGAAGCAGTTACGCAAGCACTTACGAACCTGTCTATCTTTTCTCAATCTTTGGTGACTTTGTTAACAGTTATTAAACAGTTAATGGGCTCCGAAGCACCAGGAGGCTGTTTATAACAATAACAACAGTTGAATGTCAAGTTTTCATGCTTGTAAACTGTTTAATAAATGTAACCAAAGCCGTCAAAGATTGAGGAAAGATGTACACGTTCGTAAGTGCTTGCGTAACTGCTTCGTGAATCTGGGCCCTGGCCTTTATTCTGTATGGCTAGATGCTGTGGTTGGTCCTGCTAGTTGTTTCTAGTCTCTGTTCTTTTCTTCTGTGGTTGGCCATGTGTTTCTAGTCTTGTACTTTGAAGAATTTATTTGTTCTCTAATCTTTCAGACTGTGTTCAGTGCTTGCCTGTGTTATGTACAACTTGGTAGAGTGTGTTACTGTCACAGCTGTCTCTAGCAAATGCTATTTTTATTTCTAAAGCTGGTTCTGAAGACTTTCCAGCCATGTGCATTTAATAGTTGAATTTTCTCTGATCATATTGTGCCCGTATTTCAAGAAGCACTTCAATAAACTGGGAAAGGTGCAAAGACATGCTACAAAATGGCTTCCAGAACTGAAAGATAAGAGTTATGGGGAGAGGCTAGAGGCATTAAATATGACAAAGCGAGAAGAAGAAAAAGAGGTTATATGATCACCACTTACAAAATAATAACAGGAATCAACAAAATTGACAAAGGAATTCCTGAAACCAGCAACTTCAAGAACAAGAAGACACAGATTTATGCTAAGGATACAAAGGTGCTGCTAAAATATAAAGTTTTCTTTTGCAAACAGTGGTAGATGGTTGGAACAAGTTACAGGTAAGTGAGAAGGTGGTGCAGGCCAAACCGTCAATAGTTTCTAAAGTGTTATATGACAAAGAGTGCCGGGAAGACAGGACACCACGAGTGTAGCTTTCATCCTGTAACTACATTTAGGTAATTATACATACACAGACAGGCTACCTGTCCCCAACAAAATAAGTAAGATACTCATTCTAGCCTACACAAGTCCAGAGGCCTGAGAGTGTTTTGTATGCTTGTTATGAGAGCCTTAAACATGGTAGAAAAAGCAAATGGCTCCAATACCCTAAAGTAATATTTACAATACCCTAGAAAGAGAGTAAGAGAGAAAGAGAGAGAGTATTTTAGAGTAATTTAAGAGTACTCCCTGACAACAAAGCATGTACAGGTATGTAGCAATAGACAAATATTTTAAGAAAATACATTCTTTGCACACCATAAGGTGTCCCCCATCAGGGACTAGCTGTTGAAGCAAGCAACTACCACCAACCTGAGCCAGAGCTTTGTCCAAAGATGCCTGGAGGGAGTTTTGTGTGTTGCGGGTCAAGGTCTCCTGTTGCTGGAGTTTTGTCTGGAGTTCACTTACGCGACGTTCTGTGGATTAAAAAATCGCATGTTAATGCCACTAATGAACTAATATAATTATATAAACACTATAATATTTCTCTTGAAGCAGTTGGCAAATAGATGCTAATTTGACAGAGGTAATGGGATCAAATTATTGAAAAGTGGAATGCATGAGAATTAAATAAAGAGAGAGCAAATCATAGAAACATGACAAATGTAGAAGATAGTGGCGTACGTGCTTGACACTCAGCTGCTCTTGCCAGTCTCTAATGTGGTTTGGGATCATCTAGGATACAACAACCAGTCCTATTTCCCTTCAGGGGAATGGCATTGTTTCAGGTTGCTTACCACATCTACTTGGTCCTTGGTGAATGCTGCCTGTCACGTCTCGATCTTAAGTGACTTCTGTGCCGTCTCAATTTTGCTTTCATCACACATCCTCTGAATTGTGCTTAACTAAAGGCACTGAACAGATTTTTTTTTGGCTAGTTTCATGCTACGAGTTCTGAAACCACATTGTTCTAATTCCCCTGGCTCATGGGTTCTCTCTGTTTGCAGCTAGTGTACTTTACAACTTTTTATTTGTAATTTCCTTTGGAGGGGACTTAGGGTGGAGTATGGGGGGGGGGGTGTTAAAAATTTGTGACTGCTTTTATTTCTACCAGCTGAGCTCGTCCTACACAACTAGTGTACTCACCTAACTGTGCTTGCAGGGGTTGAGCTTTGGCTCTTTGGTCCCGCCTCTCAACTACCAATCAACTGGTGAACAGATTCCTGAGCTTTTCAAGCTCTATCATATCTACACTTAAAACTGTGTATGGAGACCTGCTCCACCACATCACTTCCTAGTGCATTCCATTTACTAACCATTCTGATGCTGAAAAAGTTCTTTCTAATGTGCCTGTGGCTCATTTGGGTACTCAGCTTCCATCTGTCCCCTCCTTGTGCATGTACCCATGTTAAATAATCCATCCTTGTCTACCCTGTCAATTCCCAGAGAATGTTGTATGTGGTGATCATGTCTCCCCGAGCTCTTCTGTCATCCAGCAACATGAGGTGCAGTTCACTCAGCCTTTCCTCGTAACTCACGCCTCTTAGTTCTGGGACTAGCCTAGTGTCATACCTCTGAACTTTTTCCAGCTTCGTCTTGTGCTTGACAAGGTACGGGCTCCATGCTGGGGCCTCATACTCCAGGATTGGTCTTACATACATGGTATACAAGGTTCTGACAGATTCCTTGCACAAGTTTCTGAAAGGCTGTTGTGATGTTAGCCAGCCTCATATATGCTGTCAATGTTATTCTTTTGATGTGGGCTTCAGGAGACAGGTTTGGCATATCAACTCCTAGATCTTTCTCTTTGTCCGTTTCACAAAGGACTTCAACTCTCATTCGGTATCCAGTGTCTGGCCTCCTATTTCCTCCGCCTATTTTCATTACTTTACATTTACTTGGGTAGAACTTTAGTAGCCATTTGTTGGACCGTTCCTTCAGTTTGTCTTGGTCATCTTGTAGCCTCATACTATCTTCCTCTGTCTTAAATACATGGATGGCAAAATACTAAAGAAATTATTCACGACTTTTGTTAGGCCAAAGCTAGAATATGCAGCAGTTGTGTGGTGCCCATATCTTAAGAAGCACATCAAGAAACTGGAAAAGGTGCAAAGACATGCTACTAAGTGGCTCCCAGAACTGAAGGGCAAGAGCTGCACGGAGAGGTTAGAGGTATTAAATATGCCAAAACTAGAAGACAGAAGAAAAAGAGGTGATATGATCACTACATTCAAAATAGTAACAGGAATTGATAAAATCAATAGGGAAGATTTCCTGAGACCTGGAACTTCAAGAACAAGAAGTCATAGATTTTAAACTAGCTAAACACGGATGCCGAAGGAATATAAGAAAATTTACTTTCGCAAACAGAGTGGTAGATGGTTGGGACAAGTTAGGTGAGAAAGTGGTGGAGGCCAAGACCGTTAGTTAGTAGTTTCAAAGAGTTATATGACAAAGAGTGCTGGAAAGACGGGACACCACGAGCGTAGCTCTCATCCTGTAACTACACTTAGGTAATTACACACACACACATATATATTATATAATATTTATGCAGTGGTTACTCGAGACATGAAAATTATTTCAAGGGTTCCAAAAGGAGAAAAAAGGGTTGAGAAATACTGCTGTAGGGTCTGGCATATCAGCAGACTGCGGCACAAAGAGTTAGATTAGGACCAACCTCAGAAGAAGCCTGTAACTCACCCAAGGCCGCCATGTCATTCTGTGCTCTGGTCATGTCACCAGTGAGTTCTCTCTCCCTCTCTTTCCACTTCTCCTCCAGGTTCTTGCGTGCAGCTTCACTGTTGTGTCTCTGACAGTCTAATTCACTCTGCACAGCTCGTAGACGCTGCTCCGTTTTCTCCAACTGTGAGGGATTTATAGTTATTACTTTGTAAACATTATTTTTGGAGTGTCTCTGACAGTCTAATTCACTCTGCACAGCTCGTAGACGCTGCTCCGTTTTCTCCAACTGTGAGGGATTTATAGTTATTACTTTGTAAACATTATTTTTGGAGTGTCTCTGACAGTCTAATTCACTCTGCACAGCTCGTAGACGCTGCTCCGTTTTCTCCAACTGTGAGGGATTTATAGTTATTACTTTGTAAACATTATTTTTGGAGTGTGTCTGACAGTCTAATTCACTCTGCACAGCTCGTAGACGCTGCTCCGTTTTCTCCAACTGTGAGGGATTTATAGTTATAACTTTGTAAACATTATTTTTGGAGTGTAAGCTTGAAGAGTTGTGTTCTACCTGGCCTAAGAAAGCCACCTATGGTGACAGTTTGAGCTGCTAGTCCACTACTACTGACAGATTACACACCATAACTTACCATGTAGCTTCTATATAAAGTTGTGTGATGTTATTCATGCTGCAACCAATAATGGTCACAACACATACAGCAAACTTTCCATTATTTTAACTGCTTGGAACACAGCTGATAGTCAAGTACAGTGCAATATAATAATAATAATATACTCACCTTGAAGTTTAATATACAAGCCAAAAACCTGATACAGTACACTGAAAAGCTGAATTTTTCTCTTTGTAAAACAAAAAAGACACAATGCAAATAGAAACAATATAGTTGCATCTCTGTGAGGCTGTACAGTGCACAGGATGTAGTGAATGGACCTGCTCCCTTCCCTGTTACCCAGGGCTAGTGCCCCCCCCCCCACAGTGAAAGAGGGTGCATGGATGGGATTTTTACACTAACTCAACCACTAAAGGAAGTATGCAATAATTATTATAATATACACACATGTAATTGACGGCAGCAGATAACAAAACAAATAGAGGGGTCTCTCTGGAGAGTACAAAATATATTTGGACTTGATGAAATGTTATTAAATGCAGTGAACATGGTGTAAAGTGTTACTGGTTTAATGTTGGAGTATGTGAGGGTAGTATGATGTTATCTTGAGGTTATCTTGAGATGATTTCGGGGGGCTGTTAGTGTCCCCGCGGCCCGGTCCTCGACCAGGCCTCCACCCCCAGGAAGCAGCCCATGACAGCTGACTAACTCTCAGGTACCTATTTACTGCTAGGTAACAGGGGCATTCAGGGTGAAAGAAACTTTGCCCATTTGTTTCTGCCTCGTGCGGGAATCGAACCCGCGCCACAAAATTACGAGTCCTGCGCGCTATCCACCAGGCTACGAGGCCCCCGCGATGTCTCCATAGGTGAGTGCATACTTGGATGGGGTGATGAGGGTCATCAAGATAAACCCAGAAATAGGCAAGAAATTAGTACAATATAGTAAGTGGAGTTTTTATAAGCTGATGTAGCTGCAGCAGCATTTCTATGATAGGGATATATGATAGGATAGGGATAATGATAGGGACATAAGCAGGTTAGCTGAAAGTTTTCTTGAAGTGTGTGATGTGGTGTACAGATGTGACGACCCACTGACCATCACTATGCGCTCGCCTTCTTGGTTTCTCTCTCTGGCTGAGGCATCTGTAAAATTTTTACCATTGCTCATGAAGGGAGAGCATTGTATGAAGGCTGAGATTTTGACATTAATTATCCAATAGTAATTCCTAATAGGTGGATCAGTCTTCTTTGGTTTCAAGAGGGAGGTAAAGAAAGCAAATAGGGAATGCTACTTTTCCTAAATCTGTTTACACTTAAGGTAAAAATGACCATAGCTCTTGGGTCAACACCTATCCAAACGAGATCAGAACATCTTTTCTCAGTCTTGGTGGCTTAGTTTGTATAGATTAAACAGTTTGCGAGCTTTAAAATCCTACCTGGTTGATGGGGTTCTGGGAGTTGTTCTACTCCCCAAGCCCGGCCCGAGGCCAGGCTTGACTTGTGAGAGCTTGGTCCACCAGGCTGTTGCTTGGTGCGGCCCGCAGGCCCGGTTACATAGTTATTCTTGACCTAAGATGGTTACTGTATTATGGATAATCTCATAGAAACTTCAGAGCTCATAACTGCTTAATAAATTACAAACTAAGCTGCCATGATTAAGGAAAGATGAGCATTGAGCAGGTGTAGTAAGTGGACACGTGTGAGCAGGTGTAGTAAGTGGACACGTGTGAGCAGGTCCTATAAGAGGACACGTGTGAGCAGGTCCAGTAAGAGGACACGTGTGAGCAGGTCCAGTAAGAGGACACGTGTGAGCAGGTCCAGTAAGTGGACACGTGTGAGCAGGTCCAGTAAGAGGACACGTGTGAGCAGGTCCAGCAAGTGGACACGTGTGAGCAGGTCCAGTAAGAGGACACGTGTGAGCAGGTCCAGTAAGAGGACACGTGTGAGCAGGTCCAGTAAGAGGACACGTGTGAGCAGGTCCAGCAAGTGGACACGTGTGAGCAGGTCCAGTAAGAGGACACGTGAGAGCAGGTCCAGTAAGAGGACACGTGTGAGCAGGTCCAGTAAGAGGACACGTGTGAGCAGGTCCAGCAAGTGGACACGTGTGAGCAGGTCCAGCAAGTGGACACGTGTGAGCAGGTCCAGCAAGTGGACACGTGTGAGCAGGTCCAGTAAGTGGACACGTGTGAGCAGGTCCAGTAAGAGGACACGTGTGAGCAGGTCCAGTAAAAGGACACGTGTGAGCAGGTCCAGTAAGTGGACACGTGTGAGCAGGTCCAGCAAGTGGACACGTGTGAGCAGGTCCAGTAAGAGGACACGTGTGAGCAGGTCCAGTAAGTGGACACGTGTGAGCAGGTCCAGCAAGTGGACACGTGTGAGCAGGTCCAGTAAGAGGACACGTGTGAGCAGGTCCAGCAAGTGGACACGTGTGAGCAGGTCCAGTAAGAGGACACGTGTGAGCAGGTCCAGTAAGAGGACACGTGTGAGCAGGTCCAGTAAGTGGACACGTGTAAGCAGGTCCAGTAAGAGGACACGTGTGAGCAGGTCCAGTAAGTGGACACGTGTGAGCAGGTCCAGTAAGTGGACACGTGTGAGCAGGTCCAGTAAGTGGACACGTGTGAGCAGGTCCAGTAAGAGGACACATGTAAGCAGGTCCAGTAAGAGGACACCTGTGAGCAGGTCCAGTAAGAGGACACGTGTAAGCAGGTCCAGTAAGTGGACACATGTAAGCAGGTCCAGTAAGTTGACACGTGTATTTGTTGAATAGTGGCTCTGGCCTTAATGACCTCGCAGAGGTAGTTTAAGGAGACCCCCAAGGTATTGGTGCAGTGTTATCCTGACCGACTGTGGTTATCTTGAAATGATTTCGGGGTTTAGCGTCCCCGTGCCCCGGTCCTCAACCAGGACTCTTTTTTTTTTTTTTTTGTTTGTTACACACCCCCAGGAAGCAGCTCATAGCAGCTGTCTAACTCTCATGTTCCTATTTACTGTTAGGTGAACAGGTGCATCAGAGTGAAAGAAACTGCCCATTCATTTCCACCTCCACCGGGGATCGAACCCGGAACCTCAGGACTACGAATGCCGAGCGCTGTCCATTCAGCCATCAGAAGCACATCCATTTATCCCCCGATTACCTGACGAGGAGTTATAGAGGTCGTCTACTACTGCAGACTGGCCTGTGGCCAGCCTTGTCTATGAGGCTGCTTATGGGGCCTCGTAGCCTGGTGGATAGCGCGCAGGACTCGTAATTCTGTGGCGCGGGTTCGATTCCCGCACGAGGCAGAAACAAATGGGCAAAGTTTCTTTCACCGTGAATGCCCCTGTTACCTAGCAGTAAAATAGGTACCTGGGTGTTAGTCAGCTGTCACGGGCTGCTTCCTGGGGGTGGAGGCTTGGTCGAGGACCGGGCCGCGGGGACACTAAAGCCCCGAAATCATCTCAAGATAACCTCAAGATGTACATGGCTCCATGCGCCCAAACACCCATTACAGACAGGCTGATCAGGTAACCATCAAAAACTTGTCCAGTTCTTTCTTGAAGGCTTTCACTACTGTTAGTCAACTATGATAGTTAAGACAAAATCATTTAATTGCTCTGCACAATAATAGAAGATCAAAAATAAAATACCTTTCCAGTTGCTTCTTCACAATTGGATTTGAAAGTAGCTAATTGTTCATTTGCCGCTTTAATAGTCTTTTCTTGAGATGTTATCTCCTCTTGTAGTTTACTGATGTCGGGCAGAGCCGAGTTAGACGACTTGAGTCCTTTAAAAAGAAAGTATCTCTTATTACCCTCAGTACACTTTCTTTAAAATACAAACAACAAATACAAATATTGATTCAGGTAAAGTACATACATACAAGGTAAGATACAAAAGTTGATGGATTTATAGATAGAGCTAGTACATACAATGCCTAAAGTCACTATTACGCAAAGCATTTCGGGCGTTTAAATTCATATTAATCTTAGTTAAATATAACTACACATGCCAGGCACTGTAGGAGCTTCCTGGGAAAACCAGGTGAAATATCAACACTGCACAAGCAAGCTCAGGCACCAACTTGTATACTCTTCTCCGGTGGATTACGAGGTAACATTCTCAACTAATTTAAACTTCTTAACATCCCCGGAGTGAGCGCATATTACCCATAACCTATATACTCTATCCTGATGAATGAGGTGTTAACTCCTGAACCTAACCTAACCACTGTACTGCATATGACTTCAATGTGACAACACCTTGGTGTGTATAAAATGATACACTACTCAACAAAAATGATTTTTTCTAATAGTTAAAATGTGTTCCCTTATCATGGGAAAACTAAAAAAAAACGTTAAATGTAATGAAACGCCATTTTCTGGTTGAGTCCCAGAGGCTCCCCAGAGCTATCCAGGCCCCAGATTCAGGAAGGTACTTACGAAGGTTTTTCTTCTTAGCTACGAATGTTTTCCTTCTTAGCGCCTTCGTGGCAGCTACGTCGGTATTCAGGTAGCTGCATTAAGTGGAAAAACCTTCATAAGTTCATTCCAGGATCTAAGTGTGGTTTCGACCACTCGTAGCGTTATGTAAACTGGATATAACTCAATTTTTCTCTACTACATAACACTGGGATCGATTTTAAGATTTTGGAACATAAACAAAAGATTATAAAAATTGAATCTAGTGAAGAGGAGTCCTTCGTGTTAGTTATATATGCATTCTCTGCTTGAAACTTAAAGTAAATATGTCTTTTATGATAGTAGAATTAGTTTTATAATAGCAAGATATTATACCCGTAGTTATTAAGTAAACAAACACTGGTGAACATGAAATATGAGAGAAGGTGATGAGCCCTGCCTGATGGGATCATTTACTATCACCAAATGCCCCTGTTCACCTAGTAGTAAGGGTGTACCATAGCTATACATACCCATTTCTAATTTATTTAGTTTAGTTTTATTTTGAAATTAAATCTGGATGAGACAAAATAAAAATATGCTGCACAAATGATGTTAGGTAAGGAGAAGGGTAAAAATGTCAAAAACTTTATTCATTGAATACTTAAAGCTATAATTATGACAATATAGACTATTAAAAAAGAGAGAGGGAAGTAAGGGTCCAAGACCTTTTCCCATTTCACAACTTGGGTGTGGAACAAGTAATTATCAAAAGGCACCATGCCGGGAAGGCTATGTAGCAGTAAGGCAGTGAGGTGAGGCAGCTACTTATTTGAGAAATGCTTATTTTATTTACCTTATAAGCTGAGGCAACTTATTTTATTTGAGGAATACTCAGCTGATTCCTCTACATTTAGCATGGAACAAATTTGTGTCCAAGACCTCTTCCTGTTACACAATTTGGCTGTGTGTAACCAAACTAGAAGTGCTCTGCAAATCAAGGGACCCAGAATGTGGAATGACCTCCCGAATCATGTCAAAGGCTGTACCTTTCTCAACCAGTTTAAGAGTTAAACCAAGTACTGCCTAATTATCTCCATGTAACCTAACTTACCTCCTAAATGTCAACCCATGTCTTGCTATTTTTTAAACAACGCTGTTCACCAACATGTGCAATTGCTGATTTATGCTATGTTAACCCCCCTTTTTGTATTTTTTATTCCTTCTTTCAACACAATTTATACCTATCCTGATTACTATTAAGCTTTAGTCTGTGTTCTTCCCCCCACACCTTGCCCGAAATGCTATGAGTATTAGTGACTTTAGGTATTGTATGTACTAGCTCTGTCTATAAATCCAACATTATGTTTGTAAATCAACTGTATGTACTTTTCCTGAATAAAATGTATTTATTATTTATTTTTTTAATCAGTAAGTATTAAAAGAAGGCACCAAGCAGGGAAGGCTATGTAGCACCATTGTGTGTAACAATAAACCAAATTTTTTTTTTAACAAATAAAGCACCTGTATGGTAAAACAAATCCTGTCAGCTGTAAAAATATTGATGCAGTTATTTAAATGAAAAATATAATGAAAGAAATATTACTGGTTTATTTTTATCCTATCGTTTTGTACTGTACAGTATATCCAAGGAAGTGAAAAATTGAGACATAATGCACAATTTAATGAATGATTAGCATGGATTAGCAGTTCAAAAGAAATATGACTATTACATATCAACATGAGAGCTTAATGATCCATGGTCAACATGATTTAATAAGGATAATACAGTATTTGTAATAATACAAACTATAATTTAAAATCTTTATTACTGATTTTTTTTATTAAGAAGATTAGGTATACACAGCAATGTGCTGCTACCCTATTCTATATGGAATATTACAGAATAGATAAAAAACTAGCTATAAGTTTATTTAATACTCCCATCTCACAGGATGGTTAGACATACTGTACATGGAATCAATTTAGAAAATACCAGCCTCAATGCAGAAAAAAACAAATCAACTCTGACTAAACAACTCTTCGCGATTTTCACAAGAGGTAAGCACTGAATCATGGAAACATTATATTATAATTACTCTCACCAGTTTCTACAAGACTCCTCTCAAACAATGTGTTTTTAATCATGTTTAGGTATACACAGCAATGTGCTGCTTCCCTATTCTGTATAAAGAACCACACAGTGTAGATCAAAAACCAGCTACAAGCTCATCCAACATCCTCACCTCACAGGGATGGCCAGTCATACATGGAATTAGGAGAGAACAAAATACTTGATGCTGATCTATTAGCCTCCACTGGCAAAATCTGGATGCAGCACAAGAATATCTTCCAATATTCCTGAGTGTATGAAGTAATTACAGAACTCAATACCTCATACCATTTGGTATGAAGTCACTGATAACAGGACAATCACAGATATAGTGTTGGAGAGTATGTTCTCTCAAGTAGGACTGAAAACAGATGTTTTTTTCCACCAAGAGGGTTATAAACAGATGGAACCGCCTACCCGCTGAAGCCGTAAATACCAAATTCCAGCTAAAAAATATAATTAAGACAATTGGCGGGCCCTTTAACAAGCCGCCGGCTTTCTGTCCTCTTCGAGGTCACTAGATAGTTAGTGGCCCTTGGGTAAATTCAGTAAATATGTACAATAATTGTCAGCGCATCTTCCGAGCAACAAAGACAGCTACACAGTATCTCTTAGAATTACGTAGGTAAACAACAAATGTAACATATTTGTTTACTACAATGTCGGTGCTGGTTGTAGAAGTTGAAAAAACATTGTTTTACTTCGAAATATACTATCTTGAGACTATCTTGAGATGATTTCGGGGCTTTAGTGTCCCCGCGGCCCGGTCCTCGTCCAGGCCTCCACCCCCAGGAAGCAGCCCGTGACAGCTGACTAACACCCAGGTACCTATTTTACTGCTAGGTAACAGGGGCATAGGATGAAAGAAACTTTGCCCATTGTTTCTCGCCGGCGCCTGGGATCGAACCCAGGACTACAGGATCACAAGTCCAGCGTGCTGTCCGCTCGGCCGACCGGCTCCTTTAATACTAATTTTATAAGAAAATTACACGTAAATAGGAGGCAGTAGAGCTCCGATAAGCCAGCGCTAAATCTTCAATATGAAGAATGTTGCTGTTCTCTGATTGGCCAAACGAAACACAGTAGTGACCTCTATCGGCACGCAGGTGAACCAACAAATTTCTTCCTAAGTGGACGTACTTGAATTGCACCTAAGCATCTTCTTAGGGCACACTTAGGAACCTTCGTAGCAAACCTACTTACGAAGAAATACATGGAGCTTCCTGAATCTAGGTCCAGGCTGATAAGAATATCCCTAACTTTGCCACCAGTCAATGTAGGTGGAGTTCAAGGCCTACCGGGGACCACGAGTCAGAACCTGGCCCCCTCAGAGAAGCGAGAGAAGCAATGGCCCATAGAAATGCACATGTGATTTGGAGTACTCTATATCTGCCATCGACCAGGACAGGCACCCAGAAAGGTAAGCGCCCCAAAACAAATCCCTATTCTGGTTAAAAACAACGAAAATTGACAATTGAGTGGACAGAACTCCTCAAATGAAAACTAGCAAATGAGCATGATGTCAAATGAGCGGAGCCGCACATCTGCGCACCCCCCCCTTCCCGGGAGGGGGATGGTTATCTTGAGATGATTTCGGGGCATAGCGTCCCTGCGGCCCGGTCCTCGACCAGGCCTCCTCATTGATAAAACCCCCAGGAAGTAGAACGTAGCAGCTGTCTAACTCCCAGGTACCTATTTACTGCTAGGTAACAGGGGCATCAGAGTGAAAGAAACATTTTGCCCATTTGTCTCCGCCTCCACCGGGGATCGTACCCGGAACTTCAGGGCTACGAATCCGAAGCACTGTCCACCCAGCTGTCAGGCCCCTTTATTCTACAGTACTGCATTATTACTTCAGTAAAATACACATTTATCAGTCTAAGCCCCAATATACACTTACCATCTATCTCCTTTTTATACTGTTCAATAATTTTCTCCAACTGCTTTGTATAGTGATCATTACTTGCTAGAGCCGGAGGAGCACTAGGCAGAGATGAGTGAGAGTGGTGGTGGGTGGGAGCTGTGAAGAGATTCCCCTCGTTCACTGCAACACCTGCTGATGGATGGATGGAAGAGCGGTCATATAAAGGAGTCACTCAACACATTCAAGTCACATGACACTCAACACCGTCAAGGTGAACAGGCAATAATTGTACTTAAACACGCAATAATTGTACTTAAACACTACTCAGCACTGCATACAGAACTCCACTGTTTTTACCTAAGTGTAGTTACAGGACGAGAGCTATGCTCGTGGTTTCCCGTCCTCCCAAGACTCTGTTGCATGACTCCTTGAAACTACCGACAGTGTTGTTATCCACCTCCTTCTCACTAACTTGTTCCAACAATCTATAACTCAATTTCAGCATTTTTGTTTCCATAGCTTGAATCTATGACCAAATGTTCTTCAAGTTGCAGGTTTCACGAACTGGGAGCTAGGCACCCAGAAAGGTAGGCATAACAAAACAAACCCCACATGGTAAGAAACTAAAACAAAAAAAACGAACAGAGGTAGAAACTCCCTACAATCCCAAATAAACAAGCAAACAAGCAAACATCACACTTTACTGCCGTGCCACTCATCCGCGCAACCCTCTCCTCCCTGAGAGGGGGAGGGGGGGCCAGACCTCACTGCGCCGGCTTCCTAGCACCAGTTCGGAAGCTAAGCTTCAACCAACGCGAAAAAAACGCCGACCGGTGGGAGGGAGGGTTGCCAGGGAGCCTCCGGGGCTCACCCAGAAAATGGCGTTTCATTACATTCAACGCTAGTTTTCTGTGGGGAGCCCCTACGTCTCCCTGGAGCTACTTACCCAAAGAGGAGAGAGAGAGAGAGAGAGAGAAAAAAAAGAGACTTACCCGGGAGGCGGCTGCCACAAACTCCTCAACGCAAAGTCGAGACAACTGGCTGCAACCTGCGACCCAAAACAACACAAGAACGCCCAGGAGCAGGCACGTTCACCAAATAACGAGCGGCCAGGGCCCTGTTCGATCTCCAAAATCCACACGCCCAAATATGAGCCCCAAGACATGTTACCGAACACGACAGCCAAAGCTGCAAACTTCCAAACATCATGGGCGCGAGGATAGACTGCAGGCTGGCTAGACTTAATAACCCTGCGGACTACTTGGCAGACCCGAGCCCTGGAACAAGGAACGAGGGAAACCGGATCAACCCAAAGCGCATCCCCAGCCACCCCAGCCGAGGCGTGCAGGTAACGACAAAGAGCCGCAACCGGACACAACACATGATGCACTCCTGGCCGAACCAACCAAGCATCAATAACCCAAGGGCCCCTCCGGAAATCAGCTTTCTTGTTCTTCGCTAGAAAAGACAGAGACGACTGCAAATGTACAAACCTACCCCCCAGGAGCTAAAGAGCAGAAACCCCTGTGCCAGAGGAAAGCATGAAGCTCCCGTACTCAACCCCCAGAGGCCAATACCAACAAAAACAGAGCCTTGGAAAAACAATCTTGGACCAAACGGGCCACCACAAACCAAGGACAGTTAAGATAAGAGAGCATCCTGTCCAAGGACCAGGACGGCTCAGGCAGTGCATGAGCAGGTCGCAGGTGAAACATAGCACAAGAAAGCATACGGAACGGGGCGGATGTGACGTCCACCCCGAACGCAAGCTGGAGCGCCTCTGCCAGCACGGCACAATACGAGGTGACAGTATTAGGCATCAAATGACAGTCCTGAAAGAGCTAAGAAAGGAAGGACAAGACAACCCGATCCAAAAGAGAAGACAACTTACGAAGAGCAAGAAAATGGCGAAAAGAACACCAGGAGACTTTATACTGTCGCCGATATGAAGCTCTTAACACTTTCGCGTTCCACAGACTGAATAATTCGTCACTCACTTTTCTACTGAATGTGTTCCAACGACGCAATACTGAGTCACTCATTACAATATTTTTTAAAAATTTAAATTTTATCAGATCAATCTGGTAGTGGTTTTAAAATAAGCGCCTTTAGATTGCACACAATTTGATACCAAAATCAAAGATATAACATGAAACTTGATGTCCAAACACTTGAAATATTATAAATAGGTCTATGGTCTGAATATTAAAATATTTGTTAAAATTCTATTTATTGTCCTATTATCTTGGGACTTGTTTTAAAATGTGCGCCTTTTTATTGCGAACAATTTGATACCAAAATGAAAGATGTAACACAAATATTTATGTCAGAACACTGGAAAGATATAAATAAATTTGTGATGATGAGCGTCCAGAATTAAAATATTTGTTAAAAATCCAGTTATTGCTCTATTATTCTGGGACTAGTTTTAAAATAATCGCCTTTTTATTGCGAACAATTTGATACCAAAATGAGCGACGTAGCACGAAATTTGATGTTATCAAATTGAACGAGTTGAACATTAGGTTGCAATGTACAAAATGGTGCTCGTTCACGGGTAACTTTAGGCTTTTCTGCGGGGAGGCACTCCAGCCTTTTGTACATTTTATTCATACACATCTGTAGGGAATTTAATTGCGAACACAATGATACCAAAACGAGCGACGTAGCACGAGAATTAAGGTAAAAAAAATGGAACGAGAATGCACATGTTACTGATTTTGTGCGTTTTTGCCGACTTTACGCTTTGCTGTTGGGAGTCACGCTAGGCTTTTGGACATTATATTTATACACACCTGTAGAGAATTTAATTGCGAACACAATGATACCAAAACGAGCGACGTAGCACGAGAATTAAGGTGATAAAGCTGGAACGAATATACACATTTGGGTGTCACTGCGCGCTTACCCGCATGGAGGGGCCACCTACCCCCTGTCAACCGCGAGTTTCCACGGAGCGCGAAAGTGTTAAGTGGGACTCCATCAACGAAGCCACCTGATCATCATAGAAATGGTGATACACCCGCATCTAAAAGACCAGACACGAAGAGCAGAAGAGAAGGTCGAACCAGCCCAGTACTGGACCGGTCCGACCTGCTGAAAAAGGTGGAGCCGCAGGAAACGTCCCGGATTCGGACACAGAGCAAACAGCACCGGAAACCAAGGCTGGGCCGGCCACCAAGGGGCCACAAGGACTACTCTCCCTAGGAAGGTCTCCAACCGAGCCAGAACCCAAAGCAACAGCAGGACCGAGGGAAAGAAGTACAGGTAACCCCACCTCGACCAGTCCTGCCGAAAGGCATCCACCGCAAACGCCTCACAGTCGGGGAAGGGCGTCCCATACTCTGGGAGACGTCGAGACCATGCCAACGCGAAGAGGTCCACGTCCAGGAGTCTGTACGTCTGGCAGATCCAACGAAATGAGTCGTCATCGACCGTCCATTCTGTGGACAGGGGAACGAAGCGAGATAGGCCGTCTGCCAGGACGTTGGACACTCCCCGAATATGAACCGCACGGAGAGCCAAACCCCGAGAATCCAGCAGACGAACCACTCGAAGGGACCAATCCCAAAAAAGCAAGGACCGAAGAGAACCCCTGCGGTTCAGGCAATGAACCACCAGAGAACAGTCCGAATGGAGCCAGATGGTCGAACCCCGAGCGACCCGAACTCTGCGAAGTGCAAACCAGACTGCCATGAACTCCCGAACCGTGCTGTGCGCCCGATGGAAGGACGGACCCCACCGTCCCTGACTGGCTTGGTAAGCACTGGTCACAAAGCCCCAACCGAGAGAGATCACGCGTCCGTGAACACATCGAGCAAAGACTCGGGAAGGCGCCAAGGCACCGAACCCCAAAATCCCCGAAGAGGAAGCTGGCAACGCAGCAACCGACACAAGGCCCTCCGGAGGACGAACCCAACGATTACGAGAGAGGCGGAAGGGGTGTCCCCGAAGGAACCAAAACAGACGTTGAAGCCAAACCCGACCTGGCGGGTAGACCAGTACGGCGAAGTTCAGACTCCCGCACAACTGCTCGAGCAACTGCCGAGCGAGTAACCCAAGTGACCCGGGACCCTCTATGAAACAGCCGACAGCGGGACCACAGCCGCAGCAACACCTCTGGAGGGAGAGACAAGAAAGCGGTCCAAGAATCCCAAACAAGACCCAGCCAGGTCTGAACCTGGGATGGAACCAGATGGGACTTCCTCTAGTTCACCAGGAAGTGACGAGCTAACGAGCTGGGGAAAGAACCATATACCTGGCGAGCAGACAAGCAGACCGACTTTGAGCCCACACCAGCCAGTCGTCGAGGTAGGCAAAAACCCGAATCCTTAGCAGACGCAGACGGGTCACCACAACCCGGGTAAGATGCATGAAAACGCGAGGTGCCAGATTCTAGCCAAAAGGGAGGCAACGAAAGCGGTAAGCCTGACGCCCCACCTTCGAAACCTAACCAGTCTCTGAACCCTGGATGAATAGGAACGTGCCAATAAACATCCTTGAGGTCCAGGGACACCATCCAGGCACCCGACTCCAACAGAAGCCGGACCTGAGATAGAGTAGTCATTCGAAAGGAGGGGCAAAGAATCCAGGTGTTCAGACGGGACAAGTCCAGAATGAACCTCGGATCCGCACAGTCCCGTTTCGGCACTGGAAACAAGCGGGAAACCCACCTGTGGGACGGGGTCGTTTCGACCACACCCAAGCGCACCCACTCCAAGATGACTTGATGAAGCGCAGCAGAAGCAGCTTGCCCTGTCAGCCCTGAACTCCCAAAAGGAGGACGAGCCGCCCAACGCCACCGCAGGCCAGATGACACGACCGAAAAGGCCCACAAATCGTGGGACCAAGTGTGGGCAAACAGAGCGAGCCTCCCCCCCCATCAACTGGGCGAACCGCGAAAGGGCCGATGCCCCTTACAAGAAACCAAACGTCGAACAAGGCGATCACTGCGCCGACCAGACAACGCCAGCACTAAAAGCAACGTCTGCTCAAACTGGCACCAATGGCCTACCTCGACCAGCAGAACCCTGAACCCTGGTACGACCCCCCCAAGACGGCCAAAAACGACCACCCCGGAGAACCAACAAGCCATATATACGACGACAACTGGACGAAGCTACTTGCAAAAACTGCAAGACCGCAGTCTCTGCAAACAGCAACAGACAAAATGGATACGAAAACCTAAGAGCCAGGGCTCAAGCAGATTCTAAAGAGAGGGCGAGCACAGCCTGACGGCACCTGAACCGAGAAGCAAAAAACAGAGACACCGCCTCCTTTAGGATGGACGCAAAGAGCTTCAACAGTGCAGCTGACGCCCTAGCTGCCGAAGTCAGCGCTCCAGGCGAAGGCCCGTCACTCAACGTCTCCACACCCTTCTCAAGCCAGGCAGAAGACAGCTCTTGGGAAGCTGTGAAGTGGGAAATGAGAAGAACAACCCAACTCAAAAGAGGACGAATCCATTAGAGGCATAAACCGGGTCTCGCAAGAGGAATGCAGCAAGAGCCTCGCAAGAGGAATGCAGCAAGAGCCTCCAGAGCCTCCTTCGCAGAGATAAGGGAAGCAAAAAATCCTCTGGAAAGACGGAGCCGAGGTACCCAAAGGAGCCTGGACCAAACCCGGGGAGAAGCCGAACCCAAATCATACTCATACAGAGAAGGGGGAGTAAGAAAACGCCTCCCCTGCAGCAATAAGCGAGAAAGGCAAAAGCACCCAAGCAGGGTCAAAGGGGGCCCATGGCCCCCAGGTCGACTCCTGCGCAGCCTCAAGATACCCCCGTCGGGACCCGGGGGCAGAGCTGTCCTCCAAACCATCAACCCCTGAAGAAAAGGCAGACAAGACGGGAGCCTGCTGGTGGGACCCAGAAGCCTCAGCAGGAGAAACTGGCTCAAATGCCTCCGCCCCACTCGAATGGGGCAGCCCTCGAAGCCGCCCGAGCCTCATCATCAACTAAACCCTGTGCCGAATCCGAAACCCTCAGACGTTTGGGAGCCGGACACGGGGGAAGGTGCAGGATGAACCACAGGTGACGGATCAGGGAGCGCAGAAGGAGCCAGAGTCGAAGCGACTAACGTCCCCAGGTATGGGTCCCTACAACCAAAACGGGGCAGCCTCTGGGCATCCAGGTGGGAAACCAACCTAGCGCGTTGCAGTAACCTAAATCTAACACACAACGCGGATGCTGCCTGTACCCTAACAGCAGCAACATCAGAATAAAATTGCAGCACAAGCAGAGAACACGACTCGCAAGACTCCGGGTCAAAGGTGTCGTTGACCCAACAGGCAGCATGACGGAGGCAAAACAGGTGACTGTCACCCTGAGACAAGGGCACACAGCAACCTTCAAACCCACACAAGGCAGGCTGGAACTCGGGAGATGCATTTATGGGTCCAACGAGCCCCGACAGGGGTTTCCAGGGCCCGTAGGGCAACAACCACGGGAAGCCCGAGCAAGGTGTTGCTAACTGGTTAAAAAATCCAAACAAGGGGTATTTCAGTGATAACACTGAAACCCCTGTGATGTGTACAAGCACGGGGGCCTAGCAGAGGGGCCACCAAAACAGTATCAGGGGCAGTGGTGGCCCCCTCCTGGGCCCTGGTTGCAGGAGAAAGCAGTGAGGTGATATTTTGGGTACATCAGACAATTGTATGTTTTTGTTTGGAACGCTTTTATACCAAACATTTCTCAATTCAATTTTTTTTCAGTTTGTGATCCTCTCCCACCTTTTTCAGTCATTTTGGGAGTTTCCTTAGCTTGTGGGACATTGTGGTTATGTCAGTTTCCTTGCTACTTTGAGAGGGCAGGAATTTGCTCCCTGCTCCCAGTAGATGCTTGGTGTGCTGGATTTGGCCCTGAGGTCAAAGTTCCAATACCAATTGAGGTAGGTATCAATGCACAACCTCTGCATCATCTCAGCCATCATTTCTGGGATGAAAGGACCAGCCCAGAAATCAGGCTTTGAGGGAGGAAGCTTCCATACCCTCCCCCCCCCTCCTCCTTTTTTTAACAGCATGTTGAAAAACAAAGTAAATGCCCCAAAGTTCATGCAATTTTCATATAAATTATAGTAGTACGTTAAATTCTTAAGTACCCAGCTAATTCTCGGCTAAAATTTACGATATACAGTATGTATGTGTGTGCACTAAATGAAGACAAACATTACTTTATAAAAAAAAATGGCCATAAAAGTTTGGTTTCTCATCAAATCCATTCATAAATATGAAATTATACTTTACCTTTAGAGTGTAATCCTTCAAAAGGGGTTTTAAATGGGTTCTCATCACTTGTTTCTATAGCCTTTCGTGGAGTTTTACACGGTGTGCGCTGATTTCTTGTATTGATTTTCTCAAAACTTCCCCAGAAATCCCTGTCGTCATCTCCCATTGAAGAAGAACTTGATGAAGAGACTCGGCCATCTAAGCTCTGAATTGAGAGCAAAATAAATTAAATTTCCAGTTATAACACATTTCAATATTTTCAAATTGTATATTACATTATCTTTCTTTTTATCATCAGTGTTATCCCACTTCTCACTTTCTTAGAGGTGGGAGAAGTATCAGCCTGGAAGACAAATTAGCCCAATATTGGAAAAGATGAGTAAAAACACATTTATTTAAAAAACCAGTGTTGAATGTAATGAAACACCATTTTCTGGGTGAGCCCTGGAGGCTCCCCCAGAAAACTAGCGTTGAATGTAATGAAATGCCAATTTCTAGGCGAGCCCCATTGGCTCCCTGAAGCTATCTACCTACAGAGAAGGAAGAACGGGCACTTACCAAGGGAGGAGGAACCACGAAACTGGATCGACCCACAATGAGTCCACCAAAACAGAACCAGTGGCAAGAAAGTAGAGGCACAAAGCCACCACTGAAAAAAGCACATGCTGCACCCTCTGGAAGAACCAATCAAGTGTCCATGACTGAGGGACCTCTCCGGAAGAAGCCACTGGCTGCAAACAAACAAAACAGCCACAAGGGCCAAGGCAACAAAACTCTGATGTCAAAGGAGAGCATGAACCTTACCCACCCAATGTCTGGAAGCCAGAGAAAGCAAAAATAATGCTTCCAAAACACAATCCCAGACTGAAAGAGCCACTGTAAATCGAATGGACAAAAGGAAAGAATGAACGCGGTTAAGGGATCAGACAGACTCAGGTGGAGCATGAGCGGGATGGAGGTGAAACTATGCACGAGAAAGCAGGTGAAACAGGACTGAAGTTATTGACCCGAAATGAAAGCTGGAGCGGCTCCACTAACGCAGCATGATATGAGGCGACAGTATTCAGCACGAGATGTCGACCAAGGAAAAGCCAAGAAAGAAAGGACAGTACAACCTGCTCTGAAATAGAAAAAAACAACAAAGGTACAGAAAGTAGTGGAAGGCACACCAAGACACCCCATACTAAATTGTCATCCACACTTCCGTGGAAATCAACATTTCATTCACCTGGGCTCTATGAGACTCGAACCACAGACCCCATGAGTGTGAGGCAGAGGCTCTATCCACTCAACTGTGAGTAGTCTTAATAAGAAAAGATTCCAGAAGCAACTACTGCTGCTATGCTGGAATTTACAACGACTACCACTGAAGCTTAGAGGAATTCGTGATCCACACCCATGTCATATAATTTATATGACGTGTCATATAACTTGTATGATTTCTTTTGGCTTCCCTCCAGAAATGTCTGAAGGGAAGCCAAAAGACAGCTTGAAAAAGACAGCAGTAAAAGCTAAATACCAGGGAGCCGATCGGCCGAGCGGACAGCACACTGGACTTGTGATCCTGTGGTCCTGGGTTCGATCCCAGGCGCCGGCGAGAAACAATGGGCAGAGTTTCTTTCACCCTATGCCCCTGTTACCTAGCAGTAAAATAGGTACCTGGGTGTTAGTCAGCTGTCACAGGCTGCTTCCTGGGGGTGGAGGCCTGGTTGAGGACCGGGCCGCGGGGACACTAAAAAGCCCCGAAATCATCTCAAGATAACCTCAAGATAACCAACTAAAACCATTTTATAGCCTTATATAAAGAAACATAACAATAAGAGATGATCATGTCATCAGGCTCAGGAGACAAGGAGGAAAGACTCATGGAATATGACAAGATAGTGCTTTTGTCCAGTGAGGAACTGGACAAAAGATTTCAGGGGTCTTTATAAAGAAACTAATTAAAGACCACAAGTGAGTGATGAACAGCCAGAGTAAACATGACAATTTAGTCACAGTGGAAAAGGTTAAAAAAAAAAAAAAACTCAAGGAACTAGATGCACAAAATCAAATATCTTGAGGTTATCTTGAGATGATTTCGGGGCTTTAGTGTCCCCGCGGCTCGGTCATCGACCAGGCCTCCACCCCCAGGAAGCAGCCCGTGACAGCTGACTAACACCCAGGTACCTATTTTACTGCTAGGTAACAGGGGCATAGGGTGAAAGAAACTCTGCCCATTGTTTCTCGCCGGCGCCCGGGATCGAACCCGGGACCACAGGATCACAAGTCCAGCGTGCTGTCCGCTCGGCCGACCGGCTCCCCTTAGGCCAGATTTATAATACTTGTTACCACCATGGCTACTGAGGGAGGCTGCAGAGGTACCATGTCACCCACTAACTGCTGTTGTCAATAAGATGCTTGAAAAAGGAAATGTCACAGAATTCTGGAAGCAGGCAAATGTAGTCCCAACACTCAAGAAACGGGGACAGACAGGAGGCCCTAAATTACAGACTAGTGTAACAAACAAGTCTTCAGTGTTAAGTGCTGGAGAGAGTAATCAGGCCGAGAATACTGGAGCACCCAGAAAGGAGAAACTTTTGAACAAATCATCAGCATGGTTTTCAAAGGGGGAACGTTGTGCCTGACAAACTTGATAAGAATTCTGAGGCAAGGTTATTAAATTAGCCAGGACAAAAAAAGGCTGGGTAGATAGCATTTTCCTAGACTGTCAAAAAGCATTTCATACTACTCCTCACAAAAGATTGGTGTACATAACATGGAGATGCAAGCTGGGATAATTGGGAAGATATTAACCTAGGTATGGGAGTACCTGAAGGACAGAAGGCAGAGTCAGCCAAGGTAAGGTCTCCAGCTGTAGGAGTGTGACACGTGGAATCCACCAAGGTTCAGTTTTAGGACCACTACTGTTCCTAATTTATGTTAATGATCTACCCGAGGAAGTGAGCGCATACACTTTAATGTTTGCACATGATGCCAAGCTAATAAAGAATATAAAAACAGAGGAAACTACAGAATGTTACACGAGGACCTTGACAAACTCCAGGAATAGACAAACAAATGATTATAGGAGTCCGATCTCAACAAGTACAAGGTAATGAGGATGGGTAAAGGAGAAAGAAAACCAGACAGTATTTACACCATAAATGTAAAACAACTACAGGAGTCAGAGAAAGAACAAAATTTGGTGTGGATATAAATCCCGCATTACCACCAGAGGCACACACAGGGCACACACATCAGCAGCATATTTCAAGCCGGTGAACCACTAGAACATCGTTTACAAACTTTAATCAGGACTCTTTCAGGGCAATCTACACAGCTTTTCTTAGACAATACTGGAATATGCAGTACCAGCCTGGAATCCACACCTATGGAGCATAAAACTAAAATTTCAAAACTGCAAAAGTTTGCAACTCGATGAGCTCCAGAGCTAGCAAAGTTTAAGTTATGAGGATAGGTTGAAAGAACAGGACCTCACATCCCTGGAGGACAGATGAAACAGTGGAGATATGATTACAAGATACAAGATACTAGTTAGAGAATACTCTCTCAAAGTCCAAGCTCACGTCTGCTCATGTTGTAAGAGTTGCTTGCAAATGTGTTTGTAAGGTGCAAATTCCTTAGATCTCAATCCAATGTGTCAACTTTGGAGACTACAGATTCGTCATGTAAAGAGGAGTTCAAATAGGTTGTTGGTGTTCAGACAGGTTATGTGATTGCGGTGCAAATGATTGTGTAGTGGTGTAGGCCCAGAGGTATATCTGGAGTGTGTTTCGGGAGTTCTTCTACTCCCGGAGCCCGTCCTGAGGCCAGGCTTGGGGTGCAGTACCCAGGGCCCGGTGGGGTATTTCGAGCTGTGAAGTGGTAGTGGAAGGGGTGGAAAGGAACTCGGCCCATAAAACCGTTGCCGAGTCTAACCACAACCCCCCCCCCCCATTTTCCTCTGACGGTTGAGCTCTCTGTCGAGACACCATGAAACTAGTGATGACAGGAAAAGTCAGCACAGATGCCGCTACCAGTCAGAGTCCTCCTGCAGTCAAGTCTGGTAGGTGATGGTGCAGGTGATGATGTCATGGTGTCCTCCAGGGCATTTAGAGGCACCAAGAGTGTCATTCAGTGCTAAGGTCACAGGAGGAGGAGGAGGAGATGTGTTACAGGAACTCAAAAGGCAGCTTCTCTTATGTCTTTGTGCTAATCAGGTTGGTAGAGCTCTGACAGTCATGTCTGTGTGATAGGCTAAGTTCCTGCATGGTGCAAGCAACGTACTCCTTCTGTGGGGATATCCATGGTGGAATGGTGGAAAGCAAGGGATAACCATCAGTGTGTAAATTCGCTGTGTTGACCAGCTAAAGGTGAGAGCTATACAGTCTTGTCTGGTACAATAAAAAGTAGGCAGGACTTGAAGTGTTAAGAGTTCACTTCCCCACAGCCACTAATAGGTTAACACTGGTGCCACAGCATAAATAATCACCACCACTATCCTCCAGCCACACTTATATACCATTATCCCACTGCTTCAATAAATATCCAGAAAAGTACATCTTTGGGAGCTCTCATTTTATATATATATACATATATATATATATATATATATATTATTAAATATGACCGAAAAAGTAAGATTAATAATTCTAACACGAATTTTCTCAATCTTTCGTACATTACGCTTCACTGTTGGAGGTAAATAAAAAATCACTTCTCCAAAATTCATTTTTATTTCTAGTCTGACGCGACACGGGCGCGTTTCGTAAAACTTATCACATTTTCAAAGACTTCACAAATACACAACTGATTAGAACGTATCTCTGATTTTATATCTACATTTGAGTGAGGTGGGAAGGGTGATGTGGCATTAACACAAGACAGAACAGGAGGGGATATTAATAGGGTATTAAAAGTATCAACACAAGACAGAACAGAAACAATGGGTATTGAATAGAAGTGTTTGTAGAAAGCCTATTGGTCCATATTTCTTGATGCTTCTATAGAGAAGCATCAAGAAATCCTGGAGATGCCAGAGAAATCCTAGTAAACAACACAGAAATCATCGATAGATACAGCGATAGCAGGCGGCTTGACGTTTGCGAGGCACTACACATCAAGAAGTCAACACCAGCAATCAACAGCCAATTATTGCACAACTATATTCTACCCACCTCAAGACTCCGCTCCAATATAGAAGCATCAAGAAATATGGACCAATAGGCTTTCTACAAACACTTCTATTCAATACCCATTGTTTCTGTTCTGTCTTGTGTTGATACTTTTAATACCCTATTAATATCCCCTCCTGTTCTGTCTTGTGTTAATGCCACATCACCCTTCCCACCTCACTCAAATGTAGATATAAAATCAGAGATACGTTCTAATCAGTTGTGTATTTGTGAAGTCTTTGAAAATGTAATAAGTTTTACGAAACGCGCCCGTGTCGCGTCAGACTAGAAATAAAAATGAATTTTGGAGAAGTGATTTTTGATTTACCTCCAACAGTGAAGCGTAATGTACGAAAGATTGAGAAAATTCGTGTTAGAATTATTAATCTTACTTTTTCGGTCATATTTAATAATATATGTCTACAGGAAAGACTGCTACCAAAATATACTAATATATATATATATATATGTTGTACCTAGTAGCCAGAACGCACTTCTAAGCCTACTATGCAAGGCCCGATTTGCCTAATAAGCCAAGTTTTCCTGAATTAATATATTTTCTCTAATTTTTTTCTCATGAAATGATAAAGCTACCCATTTCATTATGTATGAGGTCAATTTTTTTTTATTGGAGTTAAAATTAACGTAGATATATGACCAAACCTAACCAACCCTACCTAACCTTACCTAACCTATCTTTATAGGTTAGGTTCGGTTAGGTAGCCAAAAAAGTTAGGTTAGGTTAGGTAGGTTAGGTAGTCGAAAAAACATTAATTCATGAAAACTTGGCTTATTAGGCAAATCGGGCCTTGCATAGTAGGCTGAGAAGTACGTTCTGGCTACTAGGTACGACATATATATTATATATATTATATATATTATATATATATATATATATATATATATATATATATATATATATATATATATATATATATATATATATATATATATATATATATATATATATATATATATATATATATATATATATATATATATATATATATATATTTTATTAAATATGACCGAAAAAGTAAGATTAATAATTCTAACACGAATTTTCTCAATCTTTCGTACATTATGCTTCACTGTTGGAGGTAAATCAAAAATCACTTCTCCAAAATTCATTTTTAGATACAGCGATAGCAGGCGGCTCGACGTTTGCGAGGCACTACACATCAAGAAGTCAACACCAGCAATCAACAGCCAATTATTGCACAACTATATTCTACCCACCTCAAGACTCCGCTCCAATATAGAAGCATCAAGAAATATGGACCAATAGGCTTTCTACAAACACTTCTATTCAATATCCATTGTTTCGTGTTCTGTCTTGTGTTGATACTTTTAATACCCTATTAATATCCTCTAATGCCACATCATCCTTCCCACCTTACTCAAATGTAATGCCACATCACCCTTCCCACCTCACTCAAATGTAGATATAAAATCAGGGAAACGCAAGTTCTAATCAGTTGTGTATTTGTGAAGTCTTTGAAAATGTAATAAGTTTTACGAAACGCGCCCGTGTCGCGTCAGACTAGAAATAAAAATGAATTTTGGAGAAGTGATTTTTGATTTACCTCCAACAGTGAAGCATAATGTACGAAAGATTGAGAAAATTCGTGTTAGAATTATTAATCTTACTTTTTCGGTCATATTTAATAAAATATGTCTACAGGAAAGACTGCTACCAAAATATACTAATATATATATATATATATATATATATATATATATATATATATATATATATATATATATATTATATATACAGTATATATAAAAGGCGAGTGGAGTGAAACGCCAATATCCAACCCGTTCTCGCAAATTTAATAAGTCAATATTGACTTATTAGTTGCGTGCATATGTGACATACTAAACATAATAGTTTCCCTTGAAAAGCTTCATAGAAAACACCGACCTTACCTAACCTACTTAGTATGTTAAAATAAGCATCTTATAGCTTCGTAATTACAATTGTTACTTAACCTATTATAGGTATAGGTTAGGTAATAATTGTAATTACGAAGCAATAAGATGCTTATCTTAACATACTAAGTAGGTTAGGTAAGGTCGGTGTTTTCTATGAAGCTTTTCAAGGGAAACTATTATGTTAAGTATGTCACCTATGCACATATTAAATAATATTGACTTATTAAATTTACGAGAACGGGTTGCAATATCTACTGATAGACATGCAAATAAACAACTTGTTTTAAACTCAGGTTAAATATTCCCAGTGAATAAACTACATCCTACCTACTTGTTGACTTACATTTTTTCCAATAATTTTTTATGTGGGGCTTCATGAAAACTCAAAATACTGCACATCTATTCAGAAGGACTTTCATAATATATCAAATTTAAATGTTATATTGTCTCTACGTGTTATCACATACAAAACACACAACGGAATTAAAAAGCCCTACTATTGCTACTTTCAAGTGAACTAAATAAAACATTACCTGAGACTGTAACATCTGGTCAGACAACTTTGAATGTAAACTTTTATTCTCCTGCGTCAGCTCCTCCACTTTTTTCCGCAAGCTTTCCATTTCCTCCCCTGAAGAGAGAAGAGAGTCAGTTTGAAGAAAACTACTTCAAGTAAACAGTTTGTATATAATGAAATGTTCTATTCTGGTGGGGGGGCCCCCAGTAGCTTCTGGTGGGGACCCCAGTAGCTTCTGGTGGGGCCCCCAGTAGCTTCTGGTGGGGGCCCCCAGTAGCTTCTGGTGGGGTCCCCAGTGGCTTCTGGTGGGGTCCCCAGTGGCTTCTGGTGGGGCCCCCAGGAGCTTCTGGTGGGGGCACCCAGTAGCTTCTGGTGGGGGCCCCAGTAGCTTCTGGTGGGACCCCCAGTAGCTTATGGTGGGGGCCCCCAGTAGCTTCTGGTGGGGGCCCCCAGTAGCTTCTGGTGGGGTCCCCAGTGGCTTCTGGTGGGGTCCCCAGTGGCTTCTGGTGGGGCCCCCAGGAGCTTCTGGTGGGGGCACCCAGTAGCTTCTGGTGGGGGCCCCAGTAGCTTCTGGTGGGACCCCCAGTAGCTTCTGGTGGGGCCCCCAGTAGATTCTGGTGGGGCCCCCAGTAGATTCTGGTGGGGCCCCCAGTAGCTTCTGGTGGGGCCCCAGTAGCTTCTGGTGGGGCCCCCAGTAGCTTCTGGTGGGGGGGCCCCCGGTAGCTTCTGGTGGGGGGGCCCCCAGTAGCTTCTGGTGGGGGGGCCCCCAGTAGCTTCTGGTGGGGGGGGCCCCCAGTAGCTTCTGGTGGGGGGGCCCCCAGTAGCTTCTGGTGGGGGGGCCCCCAGTAGCTTCTGGTGGGGGCCCCAGTAGCTTCTGGTGGGACCCCCAGTAGCTTCTGGTGGGACCCCCAGTAGCTTCTGGTGGGACCCCCAGTAGCTTCTGGTGGGACCCCCAGTAGCTTCTGGTGGGGGGGCCCCCAGTAGCTTCTGGTGGGGGGCCCCCCAGTAGCTTCTGGTGGGGGGCCCCCAGTAGCTTCTGGTGGGGGGCCCCCAGTAGCTTCTGGTGGGGGGCCCCCAGTAGCTTCTGGTGGGGGGCCCCCAGTAGCTTCTGGTGGGAGGCCCCCAGTAGCTTCTGGTGGGGGGGGGCCCAGTAGCTTCTGGTGGGGGGGGGCCCAGTAGCTTCTGGTGGGGGGGCCCCAGTAGCTTCTGGTGGGGGGGCCCCCAGTAGCTTCTGGTGGGGAGGCCCCCAGTAGCTTCTGGTGGGGGGGGCCCCCAGCAGCTTCTGGTGGGGGGGCCCCCAGCAGCTTCTGGTGGGGGGGCCCCCAGTAGCTTCTGGTGGTGGGGCCCCAGCAGCTTCTGGTGGGGGGCCTCCAATAGCTTCTGGTGGGGGGCCTCCAATAGCTTCTGGTGGGGGGCCCCCAGCAGCTTCTGGTGGGGGGCCCCCAGTAGCTTCTGGTGGGGGGCCCCCAGTAGCTTCTGGTGGGGGGCCCCCAGTAGCTTCTGGTGGGGGGGGGGCCCAGTAGCTTCTGGTGGGGGACCCCCAGTAGCTTCTGGTGGGGGACCCCCAGTAGCTTCTGGTGGGGGGGGCCCCCAGTAGCTTCTGGTGGGGGGGGCCCCAGTAGCTTCTGGTGGGGGGGGCTCCCAGTAGCTTCTGGTAGGGGGGGGGTCCCAGTAGCTTCTGGTGGGGGGGGCCCCCAGTAGCTTCTGGTGGGGGGGCCCCCAGTAGCTTCTGGTGGGGGTGCCCCCAGTAGCTTCTGGTGGGGGGGCCCCCAGTAGCTTCTGGTGGGGGGGGGGGCCCCAGTAGCTTCTAGTGGGGGGGGCCCCCAGTAGCTTCTAGTGGGGGGGGGCCCTAGTAGCTTCTGGTGGGGGGGGCCCCAGTAGCTTCTGGTGGGGGGGGGGGGGCCCCAGTAGCTTCTGGTGGGGGGGGGCCCCCAGTAGCTTCTAGTGGGGGGGGCCCCAGTAGCTTCTAGTGGGGGGGGCCCCCAGTAGCTTCTAGTGGGGGGGGGGGGGCCCCCAGTAGCTTCTAGTGGGGGGGCCCCCAGTAGCTTCTGGTGGGGGGGCCCCCAGTAGCTTCTGGTGGGGGGCCCCCAGTAGCTTCTGGTGGGGGGCCCCCAGTAGCTTCTGGTGGGGGGGGGCCCAGTAGCTTCTGGTGGGGGACCCCCAGTAGCTTCTGGTGGGGGACCCCCAGTAGCTTCTGGTGGGGGGGGCCCCCAGTAGCTTCTGGTGGGGGGGGCCCCAGTAGCTTCTGGTGGGGGGGGCTCCCAGTAGCTTCTGGTAGGGGGGGGGCCCCAGTAGCTTCTGGTGGGGGGGGCCCCCAGTAGCTTCTGGTGGGGGGGCCCCCAGTAGCTTCTGGTGGGGGGGCCCCCAGTAGCTTCTGGTGGGGGGGGGGGGGCCCCAGTAGCTTCTAGTGGGGGGGGGGCCCCAGTAGCTTCTAGTGGGGGGGGGGCCCCAGTAGCTTCTGGTGGGGGGGGCCCCAGTAGCTTCTGGTGGGGGGGGGGCCCCAGTAGCTTCTGGTGGGGGGGGGGCCCCCAGTAGCTTCTAGTGGGGGGGGCCCCAGTAGCTTCTAGTGGGGGGGCCCCCAGTAGCTTCTAGTGGGGGGGGCCCCAGTAGCTTCTAGTGGGGGGGGGGCCCCAGTAGCTTCTAGTGGGGGGGGCCCCCAGTAGCTTCTGGTGGGGGGGGCCCCCAGTAGCTTCTAGTGGGGGGGCCCCCAGTAGCTTCTGGTGGGGGGGGGCCCCCAGTAGCTTCTGGTGGGGGACCCCCAGTAGCTTCTAGTGGGGGGGGGCCCCAGTAGCTTCTAGTGGGGGGGGGGCCCAGTAGCTTCTGGTGGGGGGGGGGCCCCAGTAGCTTCTAGTGGGGGGGGGGCCCCCAGTAGCTTCTAGTGGGGGGCCCCCAGTAGCTTCTAGTGGGGGGGCCCCCAGTAGCTTCTGGTGGGGGGCCCCCAGTAGCTTCTGGTGGGGGGCCCCCAGTAGCTTCTGGTGGGGGGCCCCCAGTAGCTTCTGGTGGGGCATCAGTGAACATATTGAGCAAGGGCTCGAGTAGGCGCCAAGGCACTGAACCCGAAAAAACCCAAAGAGGAAGCCGGCTACGCAGCAAGCGCAGCAAGGCTCACGGAGGCCGAACCCAGCGATCGCGTGAGAGGCAGAATGGGCATCCCCGAAGGAACCAGAACAGATGCTGAAGCCAGACCTGACCCGGCAGGTAAACCAGCATGGCGAAGTTCAGAACCCCACACACCTGCTCGAGCAACCGCCAAGTGACCCAGGACCCCCACTCCGAAACAGTCAGGGGCGGCACCGCAGCTGCAAGTAACACCTCCAGAGGGAGAGACATGGTAGTTGTCCAAGAGTCCTACACAAGGCCCAGCAGATTCAAACCTGGGTTGGAACCAGATGGGCCTTCCTCCAGTTCATCAGGAACCCGAGCCCGGCAAGCTGGAAAAGAACCACAGACAAGCGAGCAGACGAGCAGACCAGCTGGGAGGCCACCCCAACCAGTCGTCGAGGTAGGCCAGAACCCGAACTCCTAGCAGACGCAAATGGGTCACTACAACCCGGGTAAGACGCATGAATACACGAAGTGCCAGATTCAAGCCAAAAGGAAGGCATCGAAAATGGTAAGCTTGCCACTCCACAACGAAACCTAGCCAGTTCCTGAACCCCGGATGAATTGGAACGTGCTAATACGCTTCCCAGAGGACCAGACACACCATCCAAGTACCCGACTCCAAAAGGAGCCGGACCTGAGACAGAGTGGTCATCCGAAAGGAGGGGCACAGAATTTAGGGGTTCAGACGAGACAGGTCCAGAATGAACCTCAGATCCGCACAGTCCTGTTTCGGGACTGGAAACAGGCGGGAAACCCACCTGAAGGACGGGGTCATTTCAACCATGCCCAAGCGCACCCACTCCAAGATGACCCGACGAAGCACAAGGGAAGAACCCTGCCCCGGCAGCCCCGAACCCTAGGAAAAAGGAGCCACCGCCCAACGCCACCACAAGCCGGAGGAAACAACCTGAAACACCCACAAATTGTGGGACCAGGCATGAGCAAATAGCATGAGCATCACCCCATCAATGGGGCGACCCTGGAAAGGGCCAACACCCCTTACGAGAAGCAGGCAGACGAGCAGAGCAAGCATTGCGCCGACACCAAAAGACGCTGACTCAGAAACTGGCACTAACTGCCCACCTCAACCTACGGAACCCCAAGCCTTGGCATGATCATTCCGAGAACCCTGAGAATGGCCACCCCCGGAGAACCAACAAGTCCAACATAGGACGACAACTAGACAAGGCCGCCTGCAGAAACCGAGTGACAGCAGCTTCCTCAAACAGCAACGGACAAAAAGTGACAAAAATTTAAGAGCCAGGACTCAAACGGATAGGAAGGAGCGAACACGGCCTGGCAGCATGAGAGGTGAGAAGCAAAGAACAGAGACACCGCCTCCCTGAGAGTCCGTGCAAACAGCTTCAACAGTGCGGCCGACGCCCGAGCTGCCGAGGCCAGCGCACCAGACGAAGGCCGGGCACTCAACGCCTCCACATCCTCCCTAAGCCTGTCCGAGAACAGCTCAAGAAGAGAAAAGAAGCACAAGACCGAGGCCAAATGCCCTCTAGTGCACAAGTCCTCAGCTACCAAAGACGCCGAAAGCATGGAAACCTGCACGTGCAGCTGCACAAGGCCACCATCAAGAAGAAGCACAGAGGCAAACAAGCACGCATTAAGACGCTCAAATTGGCCCCCCAAAATAAACCTGCAGAACCGTAGCAGTCTCCCGTCATCCAAGTGTTCAGGTCCGACAAAACCCATGCCATACTCCCAGCGAAAAGAAAGGGCAGTCTGAAAGCCTCTGGGACCTCATGATGCACCCAATATGGGAAAGAGCTGAACTCAAACAAGGACTGATCCATCAGAGGCAAAATCAGGGTCTCACAGGAGGTACGTCGCAAATGCCTCCCGAACTTCCTTAGGCGAGATTCAAGAAGCAGAAAACCTCTGGAAGGAAGGAGCTGAGAAACCCAAGGGAACCCATAACTGAACACGAAGAGGAGCCGATCCCAAATCATAGTGATACAGGGAAGGGGGGTAAGAAAACCCCTTTCCCCTGCAGCAAC